AGCATTCTTTGGCACTGCCCTTCTTTGGGATTGGGATGTAGACTGATCTTTTCCAGTCCTCTGGCCACTGTTGGGTTTTCCAAACTTGCTGGCATATTGAATGTAACACCTTAACAGCATCAAGCAGAACTAAATGTAGTTGGAAAATTTGGCCTGGGGGGGGGGGAAGAAATGAAGCAAGAGAACAACGCATAAACTTCTGCAAGGCAAGCAATCTGTTTATTGTAAATACATTCTTCAAACAACCAAACAGACAGCTATACATGTGGACATCACCACATGGTCAATATAGAAATCAAATAGACTATGTAATTGGAAGCAGGAGATGGAGAAGCTATATTCCTTGTCCCAAAAGAATTCTCTCAGCTAAAACAAAACCAGGAGCATGTTGTGGCACTGACCATGAACTTTTAATATTCCAACATTAGAGTAAAGCTAAAAAAGAACACTAAAAGATTCGTAGTAACAAAATACAATTCAAACAACATTCCTGATTAATTTCAAATCCACATAAGGAACAGATTTCCATTACTATAGTCAACTGATTATGAGCCAGAAGAATTGTGCATTGGAACCAGAGATATTGTTAAAGAACAATGCAGAAAGACAATTCCTGTAGTAAAAAGAAAATAAAAACCTAGATGGATGCTGGAGGAAACACTGTGAAGGACTGATGACACACAACTAATGTTGTAAGCCACCTAGAGTGGTTGCAATGACCAGATAGGCAGGGTATGTATAAATAGACAGACAGACAGACAGACAGATAGATAGATAGATAGATAGATAGATAGATAGATAGATAGATAGATAGATAGATAGATAGATAGATAGATAGATAGATAGATAGATAGATAGATAGATAGATAGATAGATAGATACAATAAAATAAAATAAAATAAAATAAACAGTAAAATATTACAGAAATAGGGTCAGAACCCTGAATCTAGGGTGTTTTTTAAGCAAATGTCACCTAGAGACAAAGAGAACTACTTCAACAACCAGTGCAAAGAAATAGAAGAGAATAACAAAGGAAGAAAAACAAGAGATGTCTTCCAGGAAGTCAGATAAATCAAAGGGAAATCTCATCCTGAATAAGGAATGCTGAGAGACTAACAGAGAAGCACACTATCTGACCAGGAGAAAATAAAGTGAAGATAGAAACAGTATACTGAAGATCTATACAGATAAGACAAAAGGATGATAGATTCCTATAAAAAGGAATTCTTTTATTAAGAACCTGAAGTGTAACCTGCTCTAAAATCACTAGAAATAAATAAATCACCAGGAGTATATGGAATACCAACAGAACTATTTCAAGCCACAGAGACTGAATCTGTCAAAATCCTAACAAGAATTTGCCCACAAATATGGAAAACAAAACATTGGAAACTCTCAATATACATTCCAGTTCCAAGAAAGGATAGGGACGTGGTGGCACTGCGGGCTAAACCGCAGAAGCCTATGTTGCAGGGTCAGAAGACCAAGCAGTCGTAAGATCGAATCCACGTGACGGAGTGAGCATCCGTCGCTTGTCCCAGCTCCCGCCAACCTAGCGGTTTGAAAGCATGCAAATGCAAGTAGATAAATAGGGACCACCTCGGTGGGAAGGTAACAGCATTCCGCGTCTAAGTCGCACTGGCCATGTGACCACGGAAAATTGTCTTCGTACAAACGCTGGCTCTATGGCTTGGAAACGGGGATGAGCACTGCCCCTAGAGTTGAACACGACTGGACAAAAATTGTCAAGGGGCACCTTTACCTTTACCTTCCAAGAAAGGAGATGCCAAGGAGTGCAGTACTTAAACTACAGAATCATTGCTTTAATTTCCCACACAAGCAAAGTGATAGTCAAGGTGTTGCAACAAAGGCTTCTATCTTATATGGAACAAGAAATGTCTGACATTCCAGCTGGATTTTGAAGAGGAAGAGGTACTCAATATCATATTACGAATGTCCACTGGCTACCATAGATTTTCAGAAGAAGATAAGTATGTGTAAAAGAAGAAAGTGTAATGCAGGATTAAAGTTGAAATTAGGAGGTGAAAATCATGACTAAGGAAGAATTACTTAACTTTAACACTGTCAATGAAGAAATTTAATTTGTTAATGATTGTCTATATCTGGATTCAGTCATCAAGCCCAATGGAGTCTGCATGCCAAAAAATCAGAAGGACACTGACACTTGGAAAGGATGGGTTAACTGTATATATTTTGCAGTTGCCCCATATAATTGGGGCTTCAAGTCCTAAACCTACTTCTTTAAAAGTGGAACTTCCGTCTTACATGGATTGGACTCTAAGGCACATAATACAACCATCTATTCTCACAGCAACCATGAATGTCCTGTGAGTGTGGCTACTGTAGCATTTGTTTTTTGAATAGTGGGTGGAGAGGAAATCCAGCTGATTAAAAGAAGAGAACAGATTTTCTTTAAGGAGACGAGAATTTACCTAGATAAGCTTTCTGGGGAAGAAAATACAGATTTAAAGAAAGGAGTTAGTCAGGTATGGATGATTGAGGGTGAAGGAGAGAGACCTAGCTAGAAATTTGTCAAAAAGTGACAACGTTTGTCATGGTCATTGTTACACAACTCCAGCAGGTGAGCAAAGCTCAATAGTGTGATTGTTCCTGATTCTTTCACATGAATCACTGTGTTGTGAAAAGTTTTACTAGATTTCTGTCATTGTTCCAAATGGAGCTTCAGAATGGCTTTCACTTGTTCAGTCTTGTATTTAAAAGAAGCAAATAAATAATAAATAAACTTGTTTAGAAAGGAGGGCAAAAGTTCAGTGAGATTGTTTTTTGATCATACAGAAGTGTGATGACTAAGTATAGAGAAAATGAAAGTAAGATAGGGATTAACGTCTTTTAGAAAAGCATGATATTTATAAGCTGTCAAGCAAGATGAGCAATTTTTAAGAAAAAGCTATTAAACAAATACTATATTGTCAGATAACTTTTATTTTTAGATAGATGCACCAAAGAAAGGATGCATAATAATAATACATAACAAACATTGCAACACAGGGTGATGTTATATTTCCATATTGCAGATAGCAGTAACTAATAAAGCTTATTTAATGCTTTATGTGAACTTATGTCAACAAACAGCTTTTGAATGAATGACTTAGTGGGTTGTGTCTCTGTCTTTTAACCCCTTTGCTAGGCATTGTTCTGATACCTGGCTCAGAAACACATTTAATTATAAGTAAATTAGGAAAAAAAATTCTGCTTCCAACTATGCCCTCCTAGGGTAGGAGAGATATCATAATTTGGCAGATAGTGTATGGGAAACTGAAGTTCAGGTTGTCTACTAGATCATGATGTTGTGGATGTCCTTAAGTAACCAATATTCACTGTAGGCCTTTTTGTTTTGAATTTTGAATCAAAAACAGCAATAGCTGACTTGTCTCACAGGGTTAAAGGAGGAAGCTGTGAATATATCTTAATAGCAATAGGATTAGAGAGATCCTGAAGTGATGTGCTTTGTTTGTTGTTTAGTCTTTAAGTCATGCCCGACTCTTTGTGACCCCATGGACAGGAGCACACCAGGCTCTCCTGTCTTCCACTGTCTCCCGGAGTTGGGTCAAATTCATATTGGTAGCTTCAATTACACTGTCCAACTATCTCATCCTCTGTCATTTCCTTCTCCTCTTACCTTCACTATTTCCCAACATCAGGGGCTTTTCCAGGGAGATTTCTCTTCTCATGAGATGGCCAAAGTATTGAAGCCTCAGCTTCACGATCTGTCCTTCCAGTGAGCACTCAGGGTTAATTTCCTTCAGAATTGATAGGTTTGATCTCCTTACAGTCCAGGGAACTCTCAAGAGTTTCCTCTAGCACCACAATTCAAAAGCATCAATTCTTCAGCGGTCAGCCTTCTTTATGGTCCAGCGTTCACTTCCATACATCACTACTGGAAAAACCATATGACTATGCAAATCTTTTTATAGGTGATGCTGCTACTCAAGAGGAAAGAGTAGAGGACAGGATGGGCTATTGGCCTCATTCTGTATGACAAAGCTTCATAGGCTGTTGGTAAGACCAGCAAAGTCCTTTGTAACTCACTACACAACCCTGATGTCTTTAACAGGGAATAAGAAACAATACATTTAGTTGGGCTTGATCCAAATAAACATGCTTAGGATCACATTCTATGAGTGATGTAGAAATCAGAATTCTACTACTAATATTTCTGTATTTAAAGGTAATCTGCAGTTGTAAAGCACTAGATTTAGGGACTACTCTGGTGTAGGTGATATGAAAATTGCTGTTAATATGTCCTATTTGTTTCATACATGAAAACAGAATGCTGTATTTTGGTGGCAGTTTGCACAGTATGTATATAAAGTTCTAGTCGTTCACACCCGAAAAAAGAATCTGTGCAGCGTATTCTTATGTCTTTACAATATCAGAGCCATTGTTAGTGATTGCAAGTATAAAGGAGAATAAGAATAAGTCATTCTAGACATAGATATTCAAAAGGAAGATGCAGCTTGAAAGTAACTAGTCATAAGTAATTTTGTTACCTATAAATAGTTCCCTTTTAGGCAACAAGCAACATAACAAGTAGCTTCAAGGTAATGATAAACATAATATAAGAAGTGGTTACAAAATTATCCCCAAGTTGATAACTTTCTTCTTCTTCTCCTTTGGTCAAAGAGAAGAAAATTTGCAAAGTATTCATGACATCCTTAGCATAAGGATGCACAGTAGTAAGTTTGCCTAGGTAACAACAAGCAATTCTACCTCTGGAATGCAATCCAATAAACATTTACTTGTGAGGAAGCTCCGCTGAGCTTGCCTTAACTTTTGAACAAACGTGCAGGAGATCAGATTTTTGGCTCATTTCCTAATCTCTTACATCAGTGGATTGTGAACCCAAAGTTGTTGAAGTTTTCGCTTAAGTTTAATGTGATCAATTCTGTTTTTACAGGAAGTCTATCAGCAAAGGTTCTACGAGGTCCAAAATGTCTGTGAAATCTGCCAAGATGTATCCTTCCCTCCAGAAAGGGACAGTTATCTGGGATCCAAAGCCGCAGCAAGTGAAGAAAGTTTTTGAAGCCTTAAAGAAAGGACTCAAGTAGGAATTCAATTCCCCATACAACGCTTTAATAGAATTTGCATGGTCTTCTGTATTATTTAGCCCTATGAGTATCGTATATAATACAGAGCAATGGTTCTCAACCAATGGTAAATGTGAGACACAGACGTAATATAGGTGAGAAGCAAGGTTTGTATATTTATTGCAGGAGCTTGGGATGTTAGCTTTTGAAATTAATTCATTGATGTTGAAATGAGATGCTTAATTCATTGCTGTTAACATATAAAACTGAAAACATTTAACTTGTTGAATTATAATTATAATTGTAAGTCACATTTTGGTATCTGTTGGTGTGGGTCTATCAAATATAATTCCCAGAATGGAGAACAGTGGTTCCATCGTCCAAATAATAAAAACAAAAACATCCAAATGGCACATCTCTTTACAGCCATGCTGGAGAGAAGGGTTGCTGAATTGGGCTAAGGAACATTTATTTAAGGCACTGCTCTTCAAGGACAGTTCTACATTTCCTGATAAAGAAGTCTACGGTATTTGGAAATGTTCTAAGCATTGCTGGCACTGTATAGAACCAGACTTCCACTGGAAATCCATGGAAGCTTTCCACATGAGGTTTGTGTGTGCAAACGTTTGACCTCTGTACAAGGCACAGTGACGACTAATAATAACGAATGACTAATAACTAAAACATTACTGGTGTTATTTTCTACGTTTTTTTGAAACATCTGGCTTGTTAGTGTTTTGCTTATTTGATCAACAAAAATAATGGCCATAATACCTCTTATTTTTTGCTTGTTATTAATGCTGGCATATGTCCAGTGGCATAAATTATAGGTGTTAATTGCTGCTAATTAATGAGTCACTACTTGCATTCCTCATTGTGGGCTACTTGTGTGACTTGATGTGTGATGAGGAATACAACCAGCAACTCATTCACCTCTGCGATTTACAAGATTGCAATTACTCCAACCAGTAGTGTTCTGGCCAAGTAATGTTATAATTAGTAACTGGAAGTTTTATCTTGGTAGAACACAATTGGCATGAATTTCTGCAAGTAATTGCTACAGGTTAAGAAGTCAGTGTATACATTTGATTTTATGTGCCAAGTCACATGGTGTGCCACAGTAAATGCCTATGTTGACTTCTTAACTTGTGGCAGCTTGCCATGGAGATTTATGCCACTTGAATTATGCTAGTGGGTATACCAAATAAGATTCAGACTAGTCTATTATTTATAACCTTTGGTAATTATTGAAGGTCAAACTGTACATTATAGATAGCTCATCATCAGCTGAAATCTATTAATGTTCCAGAGACCTTATTAAATTAGTTCTTTGTGATTGATGGATCCCATGCTTAATTCCTTATGACCAATCACAAAACAAAGCCAGCTGTTTCACAAACTATAGGAGGCATGGTAAGCTCCTGCTGCAATAGCCAGAAATTTTCAGTACTGAAGAAATTCCCTCTTCTAGTGACATACTAACTGTAACATATATTTTGGTCCTGAGAATTTGCTTTCCTCCAGCCTTCATACCCTCCTGTAGGTATGGTGTCCATTTTCTGACCAACCCTACCAGCCTCAGATTATTCTTCTATGACTTGTTAGCATGTCAGTCATAGCTACTTTCAATTTTTCTCTTGGCTGGAAGGAGCATATTATGGGAAGTTATATGCAATTCCCAAATTTGTGTGTACCTTCTGCTCAGCAGTGTAGAATGTATGCAGCAGATAGGGTTTTAACTAACCACCACTATCCATTAATAAAACATTATTATTTCTAATACAGTGGACCCTCTACTTACGGAATTAATCCGTATTGGAACGGTGGCTGCAGGTCGAAAAGTCTGTAGGTCGAGTCTCCATTGACCTACAATGCATTGAAAACCAATTAATCTCGTAACCGGCCATTTTTGTTCCATTTTGGTTTTTTTCTGGTCTGTAGGTCGATTCTCAGGCTGTAAGTCGAACCTAAATTTTGTGGCCAGAGAAGTCTGTAACTCGAAAAGTCTGTAAGTGGAGCCATCTGTAAGTCGAGGGTCCACTGTAAAGATAGTGCTGTTCTAATGTGTTAGTTCCTATGCCTTCCATCTTACCAAATGATGATCCTAGAATATAAACTTAGAATTCTCTTGCAGTCATCAATCAATCACTGGTAGATATTTTAGCTCTTGGATTGCATTCTGGATACAGGTAGCTACTTCTCTGAGTTATCTTTATTTGTCTAGGAGATTCATGGCTGTATGAACCAGTCAGCCTTTAATTCAATACACTTTCTGTTTGAGTGTAGAAACATTTAAACTAGCCTCATAGACCATTGCAGTGCATTACTGGCAAGAGATGAAATGAGTGGAATTTAGAAGCACAGTGTGTCTTGGGTGGGTGGGACAAGTTTTACAGATCCCCCCCTCCTCAAATTAATCTGGAAAAGACTCAGGCTGTTTAACACATTGACCTGTTTAGGTTCTGCATCTTGTAAAGAAGCATCAGCTGCATCCTTTTAAAATACAAATGGAGAAAATGGAGTTATTTATGTCTGCTCTGAATTAACTCACAAAGTTAGAAGAATGTGAGCCTTGTAAATTTTTCTTTGGGAGCCAACATGGAGTTTAAGTCTATAGTTGTTATTTGTACACTTTCATGGCTGTGGGGCATGGGACTAAGTAGGTGCTAAGGGACTAGAACTTTGCAGGATAATGCTCCACTACAATGTGGAAAATAAACAAATTACTGCTTCCCCTGCTATTCTATCCCAAATTGTACAGTATATTACTTTTCAACATCTAATGTTCTCTGACTGAATAGTTCTGTTCTGTTTTGTTACCATCTAATGGCCCCCCTGCTATTCTATCCCAAATTGTACAGTATATTACTTTTCAACATCTAATGTTCTCTGACTGAATAGTTCTGTTCTGTTTTGTTACCATCTAAGGCCTATATGCTGGTGGAAGTTCCTGGTTGTTGCAATGGACTGACAGCCAAGAATGGCCTATTACTGTTACTGTTACAGGGAGGACTAGCATCCTATGCAGGCCGACAACATTATCTCCTCCTCCTTGTTAGACACAAGCACTGAGCAGAGGGAGGGAATGCATCACCAAAAAAGAAGACATTGGCAGAAATATTGTTCCATAATGTATTCTCAAAGGCTTTCACAGCTGGGTTCCAATGGTTGTACGTTTTTCGGGCTGTTTGGCTGTGTTCTTGGTGGTTTTTCCCTCAGAACACAGCCAAACAGCCTGAAATACCTACAATAACCAACTGTTCCATAACTTTACTCTGTGTATTGCTGATGATATGTTTTTCTAACATATTAAAAAGTTTCTACATCTCCTGTTCAAAGTTCTGAAGCTCCCTTGAGATGCCTTTTGTTCTGTGGATGCCCTTGAGGGCCACTGAACAAGGGGAGTCTTTAATGTCTGAAAATTGCCAGCAGCAGTGATTTATGTACATTAAAGACTCTCCTGTCCTGAGCTCCCCAGTGGCTTTCCCAGGATGAAATGGGGTCACACGGGAGCCTCCTGCTCTTTGGAGGAAAGATTGGAAATTTTTAATTCATGAGAAAAGATCATGGCTGATCAGCCTTGCATGGTGTAAAGTTGCATGCAGGATTTCAGCCACTAACTTACATAAATTGTCCATGTGCTAATGTATCAGTACAGATTCAAAGTGGAAACAATTATTAGAATCCTGCCCATTATGAAGAAGGCTATAACAAAATAATCTGCATTCTGGATCAATCTGCTATTTAGTGGTAACTGTTGATTCGAAAATTCAAGGCCTTGTCTCTTTTTACTTGATAATACTTGATCTTTTCAGCACAGTTACAACAGAAAATTATTCACATGGGAAATTGCCCTCTGTAAAGCAGGACATGTGGGCACCCTTGATATGACAGCTCCATTGGCCTATGCCTAACAAAGCTTGTCCTCAAGCTACTCCAAGACTGATAAAGGCATGATGTGTACCTGTTGCAAAGAAAACAAGACTATGTAGTAGCAATCCAGTGTTATCAAAAATACCAAAAGCCTTCTGAATGTTTGAAGCCCTGATTCTGCTTCATAATTCAGAGGATGGCTGCTGTATGCAGTGTTATGTGATTTGCAATATAAGGTATTTTTTCCAGAATATATACCATTGAAACCCTTGGTTTTAGTGATGCTTTAATGAGATCTTTAACATCAGGATGAATTTCTCCAGCATTATCCATTACCTGTATGTTTCCTGCTGTATAAGAATTCTCACAAAAATGTGAAAATCAGGGACCTCTCTGTACAAGATCATTCGTGGTTCTGTACAGCAGAGGCAGTTAGCACTGTGGCCAGCAAATCCCGAACAAGAAGGGAAATGTGCTAAGCAGCTCAAAAGCACTTCAATACTCTATTGGTTTTGTTTCTCCAGTTAGGAATTCCTTGCTATGTGGAGGAAAATTCTGGTTGCTTGTTGCCTCTTCACTAATAGTAAGCAAAAGATAGGGAAGCAGATGGCAATTTGTATGCTTATTCTCAGTATCATCTAGCAGATGGAAAGTGTCACAGGCACTTTGGGTGAAGAAGAAAAATGTACATAGCAAGAGAACAGAGAAGAGGAGTTTAAGAAGCAGGGTTGTCCAAAGACATTTTGTGGCCTGAGGCAAAAGAGGACAACCCTTCTGTTCCATGGAAAAACATTGATTGAAATGGCAGTTGAATCTTCCTTCAAACTGCTAAGATGTGGCAGAAGATTGTAGCCTACTTCTTCCTCTTGCAGTGGGCTAGGATCCTCTGTCACATATTAGCAGTATACTCTTTTGGGGAACTATGGAAAGAATGGGTGCACAATTCTGTCATCTTGTGTAGGGAAGATTGCGGATGAGCTTTGTAGGAACAGCCAGGAAGATGGAGCTACTGTCCTCCAGAGTGGTTCCCAAACTTAGGTAACCCAGGTCTTGGATGGTGGCAGGCCACCACATTCTTAATCAAGGTTACTAGTGAGAGGCAATGTATATATAAAGGGTTGTTCCTTTCTGAAGGGCAACTAGGGAAAAGGATTATTCCCCATGACAGCTGCGCATCTCGAAGCACTTTCCTAAGGAGAAGTGGCATATGATGCTTTGAGAAAAAGAGGAAGAGCGTGAAAGACTCTCTTTGTTCTCTCGTCCCTTTTCTAGCCCAGTGTTTGAGACCTTATAATGAAGGTTTCTAGCTAAAAATCACACAGTTCTGTGTACCAGATGCTGCTTTTCCGCCCCTGAGGCTAGAATGAGAGAGATGGTCTTGCCTCACCTAGCCACCCTTATGGCTTTGCTCTATACAAAATGTCAAATATGTCTTTCCCTAAAGATAGAGCTTCATGTTACAGGGCACTGAGGTTCACACAAGCACATTCTTGTCTTATAATCAGTGGTGTAGTAGAGCCAGGGTTCTAACAATTGTTACTTTTTGAGTAGCATAGACATCATCTGCCATTCCTTCCCAGGCTTCTTTGTTCCCTCTGAACTTTGACGGAATCCGAAGATTTTTGAGAAATATTTTCTCCTGGAAATAGTATACTGTTGCATGCTATCACTCTTGTATTACAAAATATTTAAGGGTGGTTTGTTCTTGAATGTGCAACTAAGAGCCATTAGTTTTACAAAATATCTCCTCATTTGCTGATATGGGCAGACATGCTGTCTGTCTGTTTGAATCTTATTGTGGGGCAGGCTAGTTATGGGGACATTCTTGATGAGATCTGCACCTCTCAATTTGCCTTTATGCTCTTGCTTATAAGCTTAACATGGGGGACACTTGGCAGGTAGAAAGGTGATGCATACATCCTGTAAGTACTCAGATCTGGCAGATTATAACCTTTTAATTAGAGTGCCCTCGAATCAAGGATTAAGGGAGCAATCTGACAATCAAGCCGGCCTTAAGGTGGATCTTAAACAAATGCATCACAACCAATGAGGTAGGAAAGCGGTTGAATACTGATGTGCTGGAATGTGCTGTACCACTTTGGATTGGGGCCAGCGGCTACTACTATTGAACCCTCTTTGCCTCAAAAAAATGGAGGTATATTTGCCTGCAATTGAAAAAGTAACGTACAAAAGCAAGAGATTCTATTCTTGTCCTTTGCCTGCTATGCTAATTTTTGATATGCAGAGAGGTTTTAACATAGGAGAACATAAAAATGCAATTGTAATCTGAAATGGTCAACTCTGTTTTAACCTCTCATATTCTACTCTGTCCATGAGAGACAAGTTTTAAGGGAAAATATCTTTATGGGAAGGAGATATACAGGAGAGAATTGGACATGGGAGAGATTAAGTCTCCTCACATTCCTATGATCTCGATAAGTGGGTTCTTGGCAATAAGTGTAGTTTAAATAAAAGAAATGTATACATGTTTGCAATATGTAATCGCAGCCTCAGAAAAAGGGGCATGCAGTACATTCCAAACTGCTCTGTTGATTCCAGGAGCTAAATTGGACTGGAAAAGCTGTATTCTCCCTCCATTACACACTGTGCTCTAGAAAGTAAGCTTAACTATGTTTGGGATTATTGTTTTCTATAATTTATGAACTGAACATCAAGATAACCTTGTGTGGTTCAGTCAAAGGAACTCTCTAGTCCTGTGTATTGGGCACAGAGTGACCAGTTAAATATCTATGGAAAGCCCACAAGCAGAACATGCAACAGCACCTTCACGCTTGTGATCCTCAGAAGCATACTGTCTTTAGGTTAACTGGAGAGAATATTTATTACAGGTCGGAATGTTAGAAGGAAATACTTCTCAGTAGTCAGATGGTTGTTACCATTGCTTTGTGTGTTGTGCATTATTAACGCATTATTTGGTAGTTGCCAACCTACCCCATGCAAAATATAAACAGAAAAATGCCATTTCCCTCCCTCTTGTGGTCAGTTCTGATATTGCCCATTACAAATGTTTAATGAAATGTGTAAAGACAATGAATTCTTCTCATACTATTTAGGCTTAATAGGAGAATAGCAAAAACACCTCTAAAATATCATTAAATACTCTTTAGAAGTCACTTTTGAAACTGAATAGAAAATGTCACTGTTACACCTAAAAAGTGACATTGTTGGTACTTATTGCCTCACTTTCATAGTAATCTTGCAGGTTCTTGTTACATGGCTCTGTATACAAAAGTAACTAATTACATGTGAAATAATTATAATTTTAGATAACCGGTTAATTCTAAGATATATTCTGAGACATATGTGTAGTGTCTAGAGGCCACCATCCTTCCTGGTAGTGTTCCATTTTTATTAGCGTGACTACTTCTCAGAAGATATGATGCTAGGAATGTGTTAGAGATGTAGCATAAAAGTCACATTGGATTTATCACTTTATTTCAGTGAGTATCTGGAAAACCATCAGATAGAGCTGGATTATCTGTCAGAATGCCACAAAGATACAAGGAGGAACTCCAGACTGGTAAGGATTCTTCCTCTCTAACTACAAGTGTTTCCCGAAAAGGCTTTCCTTTCACCTTGAACCTGTGTTATTCACAAAATGTTGCCAGGGCTCCAAGTGACACTCCAAGTGGTTTGTAACCCTCTTTAGTTTTGCTGATGCTTCTTCCATCTTTTTTTTTTCTGAATGCAAACAATCTGATAATGAAGGATGGAATAGAACTGGTCATTCTAATTGGAGGATGCTGGGAGTTTTTTGTCCAAAAAGTAACTTCTTCAAAATTGCTTCCTGTGTTACATGTGAAAATATGCCCTCTAAAAAACTGTACAGGTCTTTGAACGCTTGTACGGCTGACTGCTCTTCTTTGTTCCATGCAAAGGAAGGTCTTGGTTTAGAAATGTTGCAAAATTGAGGTTCTCTGTAAATTCTTTCAAAACACAAAATAGCAAGCCGTGTGGATGTTGTTTTGCATGTTATATCGGCTCAGATGAAACAAATTAATAATCTTTGAACTGCAGAGCTGGAAGGGACCCTATCGTCCAGCCCCTGTCAAAGAGGCACAGTGAGGAATTGAACTCCCAAACTCTGGCTCCTCTGCCAGATGCCTAAACCTCTAAGCTATCCAGCAGTTATTCTTATTGTTGTCTGATAGTATGGCAGTGGATGTATTTGTTTGGACTAACGGTAGCAGCACTGAGGAAAAACTGTAGAAGTTTCTTTACAGCTCAGATATGGAGAATCTGAATCTGTTTCTCTTCCTGAATCACCTGATATTAAACTTTACAAAGAAGGTATTGGCATGTGCGCCTTGTAAAGTTTAGTACTAGTTGGTTGGGAAAAACCAAATTGTATAAGCAAGACTGGGCAAAATGAAGCCCATCAGACATGAGATGATCTCAGTATGCCTCCAAATCCCTTCTTATCCTCAGTTCCCTTGAAGTTTTCCCCATTTTACCACCAAATGGCCAGTCTCAAGCCAAGCACATAATTTGGCATTTAAGTGTACCTTTGTTCCCAAACCAGACTGGACACTTCTTCATTCAGAAAGATCTCTTTTGGCCTGAGCCTGGACCTGGGAGAGACTGCATTTAAGTGGCTGACCACCAAAGAATTGTTGCTTTTGAATTGTGGAGTTGGAGGAGACTCTTGAGAGTCCTCTGGACTGCAAGGAGATCAAATTTATCAATTCTGAAGGATATCAACCCTGAGTGCTCATTGGAAGGACAGATCCTGAAGCTGAGGCTCCAATCCTTTGACCATCTCATGAGAAGAGAAATCTCCCTGGAAAAGACACTGATGTTGGGGAAAAGTGAAGTCAAGAGGAGAAGGGGACGACAGAGGACGAGATGGCGGGACAGTGTCATCAAAGCAACCAACATGAATTTGATCCAACTCCGGGAGGCAATGGCAGACAGGAGGGCCTGGCGTGCTCTGGTCCATGAGGTCGCAAACAGTTGGACATGACTTAGTGACAAAACAACAACAAACCCTTCCAGCTTCTAATGATGGAATCCGCCATTTGAATTTTTTCAATGGCCTCGGGGAAGTCAAAACTGGGCCCTAGATCCTCAGAACTATAACCAAACACTATTGTTTGGACTGCTATTTTTTATTCTTGTTGTTTACGTTCTATTTTTTTAAAAAAATAAAGTATATATTGTACAATATAATGATATTAAAACTGTTACACAACAGTGTCTTTGAGCTATTGGCATATGCATATGACAGATACTAAAATAGATAGCTACTAATTCAATACATTTGTATTTCAGGCTTTCTATTATGATTTGGATAAGGTAAGGAACAAATATGTCTATTCTTCAGGATTTTTTTAATTTTATTTTTGCTTTTTCATTCTCCATTTGTTTTTAGTCATATACTTTTAAGTTGCTGAATTGAGTTACAGTAGCTTCCTGGAAGGCCACAGTGATTAAAATATAGTGTAGTTTTTATTTTGCTTGTTTAAATCTTTTTGGGGTTTTTCTTTTAGGGAAAAATCTCACCACTTGCTGGTAAGGATGATGAATGTGAATGTAGTTAGTCATAGATGTTTCCACATATTGGTTGATCATCTGATTTCTTAAAACAATGGTCCATGCTTAGCCAATGTGTAATTTTAACAAATGTTATTCTGCTAAGTAGTAGAAGGTCTGGAGTTGTATCACTAACCTCTATATCCTTTTGTTACATTTAAAAGCAAATCCGCTTGGTGGAAAGATATATCAGGAAACTGGAATTTCATATAAGCAAGGTAAAGATTTATATTTCCTGCCTTCAAGATATATGCTGCAGTAAAGACAGGTCTCTATGTATTTCATAATCACTGACTGAAAGGGAGTCACATTAGATGCTTTCTGAAAGCCATGATCACTTTCTTTGAAAAGGAGGAGATGCTGCTCCCCCTAATGGCTCCATTCATAGTGATTGTTGAGCACCACCCAAGACCAGCCTGTAGAACCAGTTTTTGTGTGATGCCAACATATTTGGAGGTGGGGAAGGGGAGACCTACTTGTTGTAAGAGAGGAGAGAAAGAGGAAGCTAAAATTAATTCTGTGATGGCTAAAATACCTGTTTCTCTCTCTCTTGTTATGCCTGAAGATTCCAGGAGTACAAAAAGAAGAGTGCAGTATTTGCAGCTGTTCAAAGAACACATTGTTTAATAGAACAGCCTTCACCAATCTGATGCTTAATAGGTGCATTGGATTACAGCTGCCATCATCCCCATCCAATATAGCCTTTCAAGTTAAGGAAGGATGATATAAAGTTGGGATGGATGCTAGCATGCTGACCTTGTCCTGACATGCACTACTAGTTCAAACTCCTCAAAAACTTGCCACATTTAGTGGAAATGTTTAATGAAGTATTTTAAGTGCATTTGGCTTTTAAAATGTATTTCCCTTTAAAGGAAAATTTTCTAAGGTGAATATACTTAGAAAGCCCTTTTAGACTTTTCTATTCAACAAGGGAAGACCAGAGGTGACGCTTGGCAAAATGGAAATATTAAGATAGAGTTGGTATGTAGGCCCGTGGAACCCTTCCACACCATACAGTCAAACAATTTCTTTGTATGCCTGCCTCAGGCTGTCATCACTGTGAACAGCATCATTGACCATTGTGCATTTGGTAATCCACTTGTTCCCAATTGGTGCAGTTGCAAATGATCAATTCCAATTTGTAATCCTGAGCTAAGCAGTCATCAGAGGAATGTTGTGTTCGATGTACATGATTGTGCCTGACATCAGTGGGGCTTAAATATGTGGAATGCACAGAGGTGGGGCCCAATGTGCTAAATACTGCTCACAAGAGCTGCTTTCTTTGACTTCTTTAAAAAGCCAGCTATAAGCTCTAAAAATAAATATATGTTTTTCACATTTGTAGCTTTTGTTGGCATGGATAAAAAGTATGCTTTCATTAAGGGTTTACAAACTGTATTAAAATTTGGAAAACTGTGTTTATGGGCTATGTCTTACAATGATTCAGTTGTTCCTCATTTGGCACGATCACTAATATTACACCAGTATGCGCACTGAATTTTACAGGGATGGTTGCATCCACTGCAACCACAGTGGAAATTAGGTTTTGCTTGGGAGTGGCAAAATTGGATCTGGGAAAGGGGACTATGTTCAGCCACTTTAACCATGTAACTATCTTTCTGTGCAGTTTCCAGAATTGTAGAAAAACATTGGGCTGCTTCACATATTTGTCTTCCTCTTTGCCTCTGCGTTTCATAAGATGCAGGAGCAAGTCTTGGGTTTCGATGCTTCTAGTTGCATATGGAATTAATAGCATAAATGGAGGCCTTTATGGATCTGCTCCAGCATAAAAAGGAGAAGGTAGATTGCAGAAATGTTCTGGCTCACTTTCTGTTAGAGTGCACTTTTGTTGTTGCATGTAATAGCCCATGTGCAGACCCTAATATCAGCAGATGAAAAGATCTTAGATAGTGGGCTTGGGACTGTTTTTCCCTCTGTGGTTCTGCATGCTGGAATAGATGAATGATGGCATAATTGTGTGTAACAGAGGTGGGCATCCTCTCTTCACTGTGCTTAACCTGTTCTCTCTGCTGAAGGTCTGCTTGAGGCCCTTCCTCCGAGATCCTTGTTTCTTTCCCAGTCTACACACACACCACTACTGGGAGAGTCTTCCACAAGCCATTGGCCTTCCCAGTTGGGAAGATTAGAATCATACAGAGGAAGTCTCACTGTTTTCTCCAGTCAATGATCAGGAATAACAGCAAGACTTGCCTGCTTGACCTTCTATCTGAGAAAGCCAGCTGAGTAGAGGGGACTCTTTCCACATGTGATAAGATATTTTTGTTTCTTTGTACTGTGTAGGCATGTGCACATTGCTGGAAGGGTTTCAGGCCTTGAGTCTTAGTCCCACAATGTGATTAGGTGTGGTTTTGCAGATCTATGTACAGATACGTAATATTTCCACACCTAATGGACATCCTATTGATCTAAAATTATGTTTCCCACATAGGTTACACCATATTTTTTTTTTAAAAAAACTGAATGTGAGTGTTCAGTTCAAGAATAACATTCCATGTTGTCTTATTTTCAGCTTCTTTTAATCCAAACATCCAGTGACTTAAACTGTAGAGAGCAAAGGATGACTGAAGTCAACTTTTTATTGAACCATATCCTATCTTTGAGGGCACATAACAAAATCAACATTCTAACTTTATACTTTCCCACTTGTCTGCCTTTTCTGTCATTTTTCTTTTTTTATAGGTAGAAGAACTATATGAAGCTTACAGTATCCAATGCAGACTTCGAGATGGTGCCTCAAATATGAAACATGCCTTTTCGTTATCCCCTTCCACTAAAGCATCAAGAGAGAGCCTGGTAGAAGTTTATAAAAACCTTCAAGAATGTACAGAGGTACAATTGCTTTTAGACCTGACAGTTCTAATTTTTTAAATCTACTCTTAAAGAAAAAAAAGAGAATCTTGTCGCTGTGGAATCAGCTTGGAAAACAATTAATAGATTTGTAATCTGTATTATCTAACTATGAAGTTTTGAAATACATTCATCACCCAGAGTGCTCTGATATTGGTGAGGTTGCCATGTGTTAAGTATTAACATGGGGAAAGGAAAATCAAGATGTAGATGTTCCGGACATGTCTATGATAAACTGTTAGGGTAGTTTTAGAGCAAACTAGCTGTTATGTTTTCTTCTCTAGAATCATGATCATTTGTTGAAGCTACTAAGAATTGTATTAGCAATCAGTCTTAAAATATGACGCTATTAAGGTGCTACATTCAATATGCCAGCAAGTTTGGAAAAGTCAACAGTGGCCAGAGGACTGGAATAGATCAGTCTACATCCTAATCCCAAAGAATGGCAGTGCCAAAGAATGCTCCAACAACCATACAATTGCACTCATTTCACACGCTAGCAAGGTTATGCTCAAAATCCTCCAAGGTAGGCTTCAGCAGTATGTGGACCAAGAACTCCCAGAAGTACAAGTTGGATTTCGGAGGGGCATGGGAACTCGAGACCAAATTGCTAACATGCACTGGATTATGGAGAAAGCCAGAGAGTTCCAGAAAAACATCTACTTCTGCTTCGTTGACTGTGCAAAAGCCTTTGACTGTGTGGACCACAACAAACTATGGCAAGTCCTTAAAGAAATGGACGTGCCTCACCACCTTATCTAACTCCTGAGAAATCGATATGTGGGACAGGAAGCAACAGTTAGAACTGGTCATGGAACAACTGAGTGGTTCAAAATTGGGAAAGGAGTATGACAAGGCTGTATATTGTCCCCCTGCTTATTTAACTTAAATGCAGAATACATCATGCAAAAGGCAGGACTGGAGGAATCCCAAACTGGAATCAAGATTGCCGGAAGAAACATCAGCCATCTCAGATATGCAGATGATACCACTCTGATGGCAGAAAGTGATGAGGAATTAAAGAACCTTGTAATGAGGGTGAAAGAGGAGAGTACAAAAAATGGTCTGAAGCTCAACATAAAAAAAACAAAAACTAAGATCCTGGCAAATATAGCATTCACCCCATTATTCAGGAGGCAGTTTCCAATACTTCTGAATAAAAAGGTCTTTGCCAATAACAAGGGTATCTGAAAAATTTATTTGTTGAAACATTCCCAGGATTTTCCTTCCTTCCTTCCTTCCTTTCTTTATCTCTCTTTTTGTATAACTTCTACTGCAGTATGGGAAATGGTAGTGAAGTTGTTTTAATATTCCCAGGAAACTGGGGCTTGGGAGAGGTGTTGCAAGTGTCTCAGCTGTTATTTTTTTCTGTGTTTATGCTGGAGTGAATCCAACTCGTTATGCTTACAAATACATAATGAAACCAATGCATGGTGATTACCTTAATGTCACGTTGTGTTTAGTGCCACTGATCCATTTCTGTGTTTTAGGATATGTGTCTGATTGAGGGAAGACTTGAAGTGCATTTGGGCGAGTTTCACTTAAAGATGAAAGGTAAGCCACATTTTCTTTGAAAGATTTAGAGTTCTTGGAAGAAGGAATGATCTTTAAGAGTGAAAAAGAGTGATATGTTAAGTAGGCATTCCATACTTACCCTTCTGCACATATTTGTAGTTTGGAAGTAGATTAGATTAGGCATCCTTCAGTCTTGAGAGACTATAGTAACGTGCTCTGAATAGAGGACTTGGAACAGCGTCTGGTGTGGTTGAGAAGGCCAATTCGAGAGTGACAAGCCCTTCCACACTGAAGATAAATATAATCTGTCCCCTGTCCAGCTCCCTGATTTTGCTGCTTTTGGGACTGCCTCTTTGCCTTGGCCTGCTGGACAAGGGTCTCTTCAAATTGGGAGAGGCCATGCAGCACCACCTGCCTCCAGGCTGAATACTCAGATGTCAAGGTTTCCCATTTGTTGAGGTCCATTTCTAAGGCCTTTAGATCCTGCTTGCAGATATCCTTGTATCGCAGCTGTGGTCTCCCTCTGGGGCGATTTCCCTGCACTAATTCTCCATATAGGAGATATTTTGGAATCTGACCATCAGCCATTCTCACAACATGCCCAAGCCATTTCTGTTTCAATAATGTATACATGCTAAAAATTCCAGCTCGTTCTAGGACTACTTTATTGGGAACTTTGTTCTACCAAAAATGCGTCCGAGACAACGCATATGGAACGTGTTCAGCTTCCTCTCCTGCCGTGCTCCTGAAAACTGTCTCCTTCCCTCTTCTGAAAGGGACAGTGTCTTCTATCAGTGGAATGATGTGCACTGGATAAAAACCTCAGCACCCTTTTTCATTTTCATGTGTTGTTTTGTGTTTTGCCCATGGGTGATTGATTGATTAGGCATCCTTCAGTTTCGAGAGACTATGGTATCGTTTTCTGTATGGAGGACTTGGAACAGCATCTAGTGTGGCTGAGAAGGCCAATTCGAGAGTGACCATACCTTCCACACTGCAGATAAATACAATCTGTCCCCTCTCCAGCTCCCTGATTTTGTTGGTTTCAGAACTGCCTCTTTGCCTTGGCCTGCTGGACAAGGGTCACTTCAAATTGGGAGAGGCCGTGATGCAACGCCTGCCTCCAGGCGGAACACTCAGATGTCAAGGTTTCCCATCTGTTGAGGTCCATTCCTAAGGCCTTCAGATCCCGCTTGCAGATATCCTTGTATCACAGCTGGGGTCTCCCTCTGAGGCAATTTCGCTGCACTAATTCTCCAAACAGGAGATCTTTTGTAATCCGATATCAAAGGGATCTGATGTTGAGCTATCAAAAACTATAGTGCCCTTCATTCCCTCATGAAAGGACCTGATTATGTTAAGGAGTTGAGGTGGACATCCAATCTTGGGAAGTATTTATAAAAGGCCATCCCTGCTAACCAAATCAAAGGCCTTTGTGAGAACTATGAAGGCCACAAAGAGTGGCTGTTGTTGTTCCCTACATTTCTCCTGCAACTGTCTGAGAGGGAAAATACCATGTCAGTGGTGGATCTATTAGCTCGAAATCCACACTGTGATTCTGGATAGACTCTGTCTGCAAGCACCTGGAGTCTCTTCAGCACAACATGGGCAAGCAGCTTCCCTACAACGCTGAGAAAAGAGATGCCACACTAGTCTCCTTTGTTCTTATACAATGTGACAATATTTGCATCCTTCATGTCCTGTGGTACTCCACCTTCCTTCCAGCAAAGACAAAAGATTTCATACAGCTAAGTAGTGATGATCTCTTTACAGCACTTCAGCAGAGATGTTATCCTTCCCAGGTGTCTTGGTGCCTTGCTAGAGGTGATGGGATCCAAGGCCGCTTTTATTTCTGCTAAAGTTGGTTTGCTGTCGAACTCTTCCAGACAGGCAGGCACTTGGTGTTGTTTAATGCCTCTTTGGTTACTACATTGTCTCTGGAATATAGCTCAGAGTAGTGCTGCACCCAGAGTTCCATCTGCTGTGCTCAGTCCTGGATGTTCACACATGTAGCAGACTTCAAAGGAACAGATTTCTTTTGTATTGGATATAAAGTCTGCTTGATACCATCATACATTCCCTTGATGTTATCTGTGTCCACTGCTATCTGTATCTGAGAGCAGAGCTGAAGCCAATAATCATTGGAGCATCTCCTGGCAGCCTGTTGGACTTTGCTATGAGCATCTCAAAGAGCCTGCAAGTGTACTCACTCGGACAGGCTTTGTATGCTGCTAGATTTCTCCTCTTTTCCTTGATGGCTGGCATCAGCTCCTCCGAATGGGCTTCAAACCACTCTGGCATCTTTTTGGTTTTCTTGCCAAATATGGGCAAGGCAGTGTTATAAACAGTGTTCTTGAAATGTTCCCATTGTTCAGGTGCATTTGCATCAGCTGGGCCTGGAAAGGTTTCCTCAAGTGCCTGGGCAAATTCCTCCACTTTTCTTTGATTGCGAGTCTTGCTGATGTCAATATGTGGTCTTCCTTCCTTTGGAAGTTTGTAAGTAACTAGCTTAAAAAGCAAGTACTTGCAAAGTTACTTTGGGTGTAAAGTTTTAGTTACTTTTAGGAACATTTAAAGGTACTTTAAGAGACTTTTGGCAGGAATTTTTCAAGTTTCATGTCATTCTTTTATGTGTTTTGAACAGCAAGGGAAGTATTGTTTTGTTTCATCTCACTTTCTGAATGTGCAATATCAGAACAGGCCATTAGATGGAACGAACAGCTGGCCTACTGTTACTCACATTCCAACCCATTGCTTTAGCCAAAAAAGCAACAGTAATGCTAATTGTTATTTGAGTGCCCCAAAATAACAAGCAATGTGTTTAGTTCTTTAAACAACCAGAGCCCAAGTTAAACTCTGAGCCTTTAGAGCAGCGATGGTGAACCTATGCCATGCATGCCACAGCTGGCACGCAGAGCCCTTTCTGCAGTCACGCGAGCCATAAGCAACCGGTTCTCTACTCCCTCCCCCAAGCCAAACCTCAGGAGGCAGCTGCAGTTGCATTGCTGGTGCTTCAACAGGTAGCCAGAATCTGGAGCAGCTGATGCTGGCGGCAGATCTGGAGAGGGATCTCGAGGCACCTCTGTGCCTGGGATTCCCTCTTCTTCTATCACTTCCGGTTCCGCCACCACCACTTCCGGTTTTGTGCCTGCCACCTGCTGGGTTTTTTGTTTTTTGTTTCCAGTTTGGGCACTCAAGCCCAAAAAGGTTTGCCACCACTGCTTTAGAGTCTGCTTCTTATTTTTTTTTTAAGTCAAGAGAAGAGTTATGCAATGCTAGCTGATCTGAGCTCCAGAGCATTTATTTACTGGATAACAGTTATTTAAAAAACAACCATTGCCAACATTACATTGTTTGAATTGATTTGCTAGCCAATAAACTTTTCTTGTGGCATTTACTTAAAGGTTGGTAAGAGCATTCCAAAGTCTTCAACATTTCATGCTAATTGTTTCTTTTCCCCCCAAATCTATATATGTTACAACTTCCTTCTTTGTGTTGTTTCCAGGGCTGGTGGGTTATGCACGTCTCTGCCCAGGGGACCAGTATGAGGTATGGTATCCAGCAATTCAGTTGCAAGAAAATGTTCCTTGAATATGTGGGAAGGACTGTGTAGTTCAAGAAAAGAGCAGAAATGCTTCTGTCAAACACTTCAGTCCCTGACATCTCCATGTAGGACTGGAAGGGAATTGCTTGAAATCTTGGGTGCTTGCGCTCACTCTCTATAGGCCAGCCTTCCACAGTCTGGTGTCCACCTGTTCTGCTTGACTACATCTCCCACCATCCTCCATCAAAATGGCTTTGGCCACTATGTCTGAGGATGATGGAAATTATCGTGCAATACACCAGAACGGTATCAGGTTGGGGAAGGCTGGGGCAACCTGCATGGACACATAGTTGGAGATGGTATAAGGTATTTTCCTGTGTTCCCACCAAGAGGAACATAAAGGACATTTCTATAAAGGGACATGAAATTGCAAGATGCTGTTAAAATGGATCGAGCCTTTAGAAATCTGAATTATATTGTGGTCTATTGTTAGTGAAAATAGAGGAGTCATGCTGAACAAGCTATCACCTTAGTTTGTGTACATACAATGGCCAAAGTCCTTTTGTGCAGCTCTGGTCTGCTGAAGGAATGATGTCTACATTGGTGGACTGCTGCTGATTAAATATTTCCTTTTGGGGGGGGGGGGAGAGGTACATGATGTACAGACAATGAGAAGAAGTTACATCCACCCTGAAGTTGAAATGGGAAATCATTAATTAGTGGCAATTAGTCAATGATGATGTCATTCCCATTGTGCAAGCACCCAACAAAATTTTTGCACATAATAGTTAAAATGGTTTGTTATTCTGCATGCTAGTTAACATAAGAACAGGGTTGGTGGTTCAGATCAGTGGCCTGTCTAGTTCAACATTATGTTTACAAAGTGGCTAACCTATGGGGAACCTTTTAGTAGTAACTGCATCCACTTGGGCTCCATAATCACTGCAGATGGAGACAGCAGCCCCGAAATTAAAAGACGCCTGCTTCTTGGGAGGAAAGCGATGACAAACCTCGACAGCATCTTAAAAAGCAGAGACATCACATTGCCAACAAAAGTCCGAATAGTCAGAGCTATGGTTTTTCCTGTAGTGACGTTTGGAAGTGAGAGCTGGACCATAAAGAAAGCAGACTGTTAGGAAAGTGTGAAGGCAAGAGGAGAAGGAGACGACAGAGGATGAGATGGTTGGACAGTGTCATCGAAGCAACCAATATGAATTTGACACAACTCCGGGAGGCAGTGGAAGATAGGAGGGCCTGGCGTGCTCTGGTCCATGGGGTCACGAAGAGTCAGATATGACTGAACGACTAAACGAACGAACACACCCACCATGCTGAATTTCCCAGCTGCTGAAGGAGAGATGCATTGCTGCCTTTGATGCTGGAGGCAATATCGAGCCCTCTTGACTAATAGCCACTGGGACCTCTAACCTGCATGCATTCATCTAACTTTCTATAAGACTCTCCTAATCTCACTTAGTAGGAATTAAAATATTTGTTTTTTTACTTTCCCAGCAAATAATGGGCCAATCTAGGTGATACATTAAATGTGTATGTTTGATAAGTCTTGCTTTTACTTTTATAAATATAGGAAACTGTCTTATTCTAAGTCTGTCGGTCTGTCTAGTCAAATATTGTGAACTCTGTTGGGCAGCAACTGTCCAAGGTTTCAGGCAGGGTTCTCTCTTAGCCCTACCTGGAAATTTCTGATTTTCCATAGTGGTTTTGCATTGAAGTTCCAGGTCAGATTCTGCTTTCCTTTCAAAGTCAGATGAGATCGGATATGGTTTGCTGGTGTGGCAACACAGATAGGGGTTTTATTAATCTTTCCACTTGTACTGTGCTTCTCATTAAACTATATGCCTGCCTAGTGACTATTTGCCTCAGGAAAGAAGTGGCCACAACACTGCTCTTCTAGAGCATTGTGTCTCAAGAACTATAGAGTTGCACTCCTTGGAAACCTGCATTAACACCTGAAGTGTCCTTCTGATGGTATCCTCCCCTTATCTATGTCTTCAGGTGTTTGTACGGCTGGGCCGCCAGAAGTGGAAACTGAAAGGCAGAATTCTAACAGATGACAGTCAAGCATGGGATGAAGAGGAAAAAGTTTTCATACCCAATCTTCATGAAAAGTTTGAAATCAAGGTGATAACAAGTGTTAATTGGAGTTCTTGCCAATTGCTAAGTATTTTGCTCACTTCACTTTCTTCTGTGTAGTTGGTACACAGCTCTGCATATGTTTTCAGGAAGATAGCCACATATTGTGTTTTTCAGCAACAGCAAAAAATGAACAGCACAGACACTGCGATGTCTGTAAGACTAACAAAGGTATTTTAGTTTGGTTTTTTTGTGTATACAATCCACTCCTTCAGACTCATTGAGCTCAAATCTGGGGCACAAGTTTATATAGAGTCTATGTGGTAGTAGCCTTGGCAGTAGTGGGTATAGGGTACCAAGTGGAATGACAATAGTAGAGATGTACAGATTTGTGGGGTTTTTTAAAGCACAAATCTCAACATTTCTCAGATAGCATAGTTACTGGAGTTGTAGGTCAAAAACACAAATTTGCACACCTCTTAGGCAATAGCATATCAACACTGGGTAACACCAAAACATCCAAGGTATAGCCTTATTAACACAGCAAATGAATATTCAGGGTGTTAGCAGAGTTAAATCTTGGCAATCTTGGCAGCATGAATATTTAGACAATAAAAATTTTCAGGGAGAATACATTGTATACTAAAAACCTATGGTTGCGCTCAAGACAGTAGAGAAATCCAGCTAAAAAGCCCCGATCTCTCTTTAATCCCTTACAAGCACACTGGAATTTATAGATGTAAACCCCTTCAGCAACTGCATTCCCAAATCTCCCTTTACAATTTCTTTTTCCTACAATAGCCACTTTGTGATCAGCAACAGAGTCCTGGAAAGTTGAAATATTCTGACACTAGCTTCTCTGTGTTGCCATTTCTGATATCAGATTTGTGTCTGTTTGTCCTCTTGCATACAGACTGCCCTGTCTTCTCGTAGAATGCAGATGGGGACCTTGGGCAAAAAAATTACATGTATCATATTAGAAGATGAACCAATGAACGAGCGCATGATCATTGTTCTCCTTCTTCAAAGTACAGAAGGGCAGCTAACAATCAGGCATGCAAACATTATTTTTTTCTCTCCATAACACGTCATTGGATGCCATTATGTGTACAATGCACCAAAGCCAGATTGTTTTGGAGCAAACAATTCCATTTCCCAGGTTTTGTGACTTGGCTCTTGCTGACACACAAAGTTCTCTGAAATGGCACGCTTCACTTACAGCTTTTAAAGTCTGCAAGCAATTCTCGCAAAACTCCTTATTTGCTGGCAGTGTATGTATGTGCATTGAGGAGTGGGCAGGAATACACAGGATGGAATTCCTTATCCCTTTCCAGCAGATTGTTAGAAGTATGCTTAAAATGTTCCTTTCTTGACCAACCCCCCACTCCATGCTGAGAGGTTAATTGAGATGCACTGTACAAATACTGTGAGAAAACATGCAAGTCTTGTGCTATGCCAGTGACAATGAATCATGTTCTCCAGATTTAAGGAAAAAGTAACAGAATTGGCTTTCATGTTGTTTGCTCATCTGAATGTTATGTTAGATGTACTGCTTTTGTCCATCTTGGGGGTGTTTCAGGTATGTATTCTTACCAAAATCTGTAGCAACCAGCAATGACTTGGATGTGGGAAATGGCCTTCATTAACTGAAATTTCATACTATCCAAAAACAACCTTTCTGTTTGAAGTGGGATCTGTGATATAGCTGCAGAACATCTTTGAGCAATTTAAGCTCGAAAGCATAGTTCACTTATTGACGTTCTCTCATCAGAACACTGGAAAATTAAAACTCATTGTTTGGTCAGGATAGAATTTCTGTATGGAATGCATACTACAAATAAGCAAACCCTCAAATAATGTATTCAGATGATGTTGATGACAATGATAATGACATGCTATCATGTGAATTCTGACTTAATTAACCACTTTGAGGGTTTTTCATGCATAAAGTACTCAAAAGCAGTTTATCATCCCCTTCCTCTGCTCTGTGACTGTGCAGTTTGCTGAAAGGTACACAGGCTAGCTTTTCTTTTAGGAGGCTTTCTTTCACAAATTGAATTCCCAACCTCTGGCTCTGTAGCCAGGTACCCAGCTCATTTTGCTATCCACCCAGGGGTGTATTCAGATGCAGGTTTGAAGCCATACTACCAAAAGTTGCTTCCGTTTTCCTTCTCTTCCCCCAGGACTATGCTGCTAAGGTATAACTAAGTATTCAATGTGGTCTGAGATCAAGGGTAATTAGAAACTCAAAATGAACACATGGAGAATTGTTAGGGTAGTGAATTACAAAAGGAATAACATTTTGAATGTGTTTTTGACTCAGTGAGGGCCAAATATGAAAACAAAAATTGACATATGTATGTTCTTTCTCTGTATTGTGGCTTTTCTTGAAGAAGGACAGCTAATATAGCCTTTGCTAACTAAGGATGCATGACAATATTCTAATGGTTTGGAGAGAACGTTCTCTGCACAACACACCGCAGGATTTATTTTTATTTCACCTAACTTGTGTTGTACCTACCTTCTCTGCAAAAGTATTGGTGCATGTACAACAGCATTTGAGTTACTGCTTGGATGATACCATTGTTTTTTTTTCAGGTCACAGAACTGCGGGGACTGAGTACTCTCTTGGTTGGCCTGGTGACCTGTGATACCATAGACTTCTTCACAACTAGGCCTTATATCATTGTTGTGGATATAACAGAATTAGGTACCATCAAACTGCAACTGGAGGTTCTCTGGAAGTAAGTATAGTGACTTGTACGCATGACACCAACCGTCAGGTCACAGTTTAGTTGGGTGGTTAACTAGGATGGCCATATGTCTTCCTTTAGGAAGTACAGTCTTCCATTTGAAGAGCTGTCCTCCTTTTTGATTATGTGAAAGTGGCCACCCTACCCCATCCGGTGAATTTCCCTGGCCAAGCAGGGAATATAGAGATTTTGATTGATAAAAGCTAATCAGTTCACTCTTGTAAAATCAATTGGTTTGAGGAGAGGTCATTTGGTAAGAAAAGATGCAAACAATTCTGTGTGAAATTCAGATGTGAAGTCATTCCCAGTATTGGACAATCTGAAATCACTTTTCAAATTATTCTTCTGAAATAACTGATTGTTACCTACTAAGCATTTCAACAAAACTATGACTTGTGTTTATTTTATTTATATATTTACTGTTATACCTGCCCCAGGGTGGTTTCCTAGTCACTGCCTGGTGCAATACAGTGAGCAGCAGTGTATTTCTACTTACCTTATGGTAATAATGCTGAATTGTGTTCACATTTGCATATATTAGCATATGCAAGTCGATTGCAAAAACATCCGTTTTAAAAGTGAAGAATGTTGTTCTTTCTTGTTTTCTTTGTCCTCTTTGTCATCCTTATTGGCAGTGGAGCAGCTGCTACCCTATAGTCAACCGGCAGTTCTTATGTTGCCATTGGAGTTTACCAGCACTGCATCAAGGACATGGAAACATGTTTTCCAGTTGTGAAGGAAAATTAAAAGACATTAATTGTGTGTGTGTGGGCAAAACAGCTCAGAAATGTTACTTTTTGGACCATGCTAGCTGGCTGGGGCTGCTGGGAGTCTCCCTCTCCCTCTCTCTGTTCACTGAACCCAGCATATCTCAGTGGTTCCAAGCTTTGGGTCCCCATATATTCTTGGACTGCAATTCCCAGAAATCCTGGCCAGCACAGCTAGTACTAAAGGCTTCTGGGAGTTTTAGTCCAAGAACACATGAGGACCCAAAGTTCAGAACCATTGGCATACTGAAGTTGAACATTTAATTTGTATAGTGAATCACATGTGCAAGAAAGGGCCATGTATGTGTGTCATTCAGGCAAGAGTGAGGTGTTCCAGGTTTACTGGTAGCACTTAATAACACACCATTCTCTTCTTATCTACAGACCAAGATCAGGTTAGTTAGTGGCAACTACAGCAGTTCTTGCAACATGCTTCACCTTCATAAATATTGAATAAAAGAAAAAATATTTGGGAAGAGAGTAAAGACTCAGGAGTAACTGTGGCTTTTATCTGCCTTTCTTCCTTTCACATGTAAGGTAAAGGTAAAGGTTCCCCTTGACATTTAGTCCAATCATGTCCAACTCTACAATGCCGTGCTCATCCCCATTTCCAAGCCATAGAGCCAGCGTTTGTCCGAAGACAGTTTCCGTGGTCATGTGGCCAGTGCAACTAGACACGGAACGCTATTGCCTTCCCACCAAGGTGGTACCTATTTACTCACTTTTACAAGCCTTTGAACTGCTAGGCTGCCCACCAAGGTGGTACCTATTTAACTACTCCCTTTTACATGCCTTTGAACTGCTAGGTTAGCTGGAGCTGGGACAAGTGACAGGAGCTCACTCTGTCGCGTGGATTTGATCTTACGACTGCTGGTCTTCTGACCTTGCAGCACAGAGACTTCTGCGTTGGTGGTAATTTTGCCATGCCTCTGCCTAGTGTCCATTTTACAAAAAACCAAATTGCTCTAGGGGTAACTCATTCTGCTCACGACTAAACGACTGAACAAACAAAAAATACAAATAATGAAGAAAGTGAGAGTAAATGGATTTGAAAAGGAAAGCTTTCGAAGCAAGTGCAATTTTCTTTGGCCATGTCTATACAAATAATGAAAAAAATGAGATTAAATAGATTTGAAAAGGAAAGCTTTTGAAGCAAGTGCAATGAAAATATAAAATTACAGGGTAGGAAAAAACACTGCCTGAAACAAGTTGCTTGTGTGTCTATCTGTTTTCCTATAGTGACATTTAACACAATTGTCCCTAAATGGACTCCGCAGTTATGCTACGCTCCTCTTCAACCATTCCAGCATCACCACTTGTCTTCTGTTTGAAAAATTCATCAGAGGAGGCTCTGCCTTGCTCTTAACTAAATTAAAAAAATAAGATCACTTGCTTTCTATATGTTTATAGTAAATGGTTTGTTATTAACGGCAGCCTTGAAGAGCTACAATTGTTTTAGGATAACAGGCACCTAAGCACAGTAAGAGATAGCTTCTTCCATAGGATAAAAAGATTTTCTTGAATAGCACAGTGACCTTTGTCTTTCTTTTAAAAGACAAGAAAGCAAAAGACGGAGGAGCTGCCTGCAGCACTTCTGCTTACCATGCTTCCTACCTACTGCCACTGCATGGAGCATTCATGGGGAGGTGGAGGGAGAAGGATAGTGGCAGTGGCATCCCCCCCCCCGTGATTGCCCCACTCTTCTAAAAGCAAATCTGGCCCTGCAGACAAGATGCAGGCAGGTTCATGGATCAGTGGTTGAATTTGAAAAGATAGGGAAGCCCATTCATTGTGGCCAGGCAGGTTCATGGATCAGTGGTTGAATTAGAAAAGATAGGGGAAGCCCATTCATTGTGACATTAGATTTCATGGACCTGTAGATTTGATGCGATGAACTCTGGTCCATGAGAGCTTCCAAAAAGAGGAGTTAAGGAGTTTCATAAAGATAAGGCCTCCTTGGTCCCCTATAAGTAAAAGCTGTTAGCTGTTATGCAATCTGATAAGGTGAACATGCTTAGCCCTGTTCCCTTTTTTGCCATTGTGTTCTTCACTCTTTCAACACCACGTCTGAACTGGAGAACAGTATTACTTGTGTGTAGTCTCTACATGAAAGAAAGAACTCTGGCTTTTCAGGGTTCTGGCTCACATGTAGAGTCCACACATTAGCAGGAACCTCTCCTCTATAGACCTGATGGAAATCCAAGGAAATTATGGTGCAGTTTAGTGCAGTGAGGTGAATTCCCTCTAAAAATGGCCACTCAACTGGACTGTATAATGCCTGAATAGAATGAGTATCTCTTGTAGTTTCAGTATTGCTCTTGCCTATTAGCCACTGCCTAAATTAGCTTCAACCTGTAGAGCAGACACACCTCTTTGTCTATTGGGTGGGACACTGAAATGGAAGAATGATGTTTAAAAAGAGACAAAAGTTTTACTTAATTCCAATTCTTCCCAAACGTTTCCACAACATTCTTGCATCAACTCCTGCTTCACTTCATGCTTCTTAATCCTTTTCTGCTGTTTGCTCTTTAAATCCTGCAGTCCATGTGCCAGCTCTCCTGTGGCGCAATCGTTTTCTGCATTTAAATGGGCAAGGTTCCATTCTAAACTGAAACAGGGACATCTTGTGGTGATTTTGGCAATCCCTTATACACAGTTTTAAGTGACTTTTTAAAGCTGCACGTGAAACAGATGTACATCTGGAAGTCATGCAGGGACAAGAAGGGGAAAAATGAGCTGGCATTTATAAGCCGTCTGTGGTAATGTCCCAGATGTCTGTGACAACATATGGGAAGTTGCCCACCTTCTGAGCTGTTCTGGCAACACAGATGCTACCAGAAAGCTGAAAAACGAACGGCAATGAATTTATTTGGAAAATCAGAGCTTAGAAAAGAGGTTCAGGCTACTTCACCTCTGACCATGCTGGCTGGGGGATTTTGAGATATGTAGTCTAAACCAATGGTCCCCAACTTTGGGCCTCCAGCTGTTCTTGGACTACAATTACCAGAAGCCTTCACCAGCACCTCTGCTGGCCAGGATTTCTGGGAGTTGAAGTCCAAGAACATCCAGAGGCCCAAAGACTGGTCTAAATCACTGGTTCTTAACCTTGGGTTACTCAGGAGTTTTGGACTGCAACTCCCAGAAGCCTTCCCCACCAGCTGTCCTGACTGGGGTTTCTGGGAGTTGCAGTTCAAAAGCATCTGAGTAACAAAGGTTAAGAACCTCTGGTCTAAATGACTAGTCTTTCCAGGCTCCTGGGCTAATCATTCCCCTTGTCTCTCTTCCGTTTCCATCTTTAGACAGTTGCAACAGCAGAAATTGCAGTCATTACTCTTGTGCCTACTAGATATGTGGAACTATAACTCCCATCACTGGGGAACAAGCTGGGATATTGGCAACTATAGTCTGTGACACCTGGAGCATCCCAGGTTAGGGAAATTGATGAACTGCAGTACTACAGCTTCTTGAAGCAATCAGGGAAGCCACAGTATTACATTTTTGCTTGTCTGTACACCTTTTGAAGTGATGGGAACTATATTGCAAAAACAAAAAAGATCAGACCAAGAGGTTGCAAAGAGTAAGAACAGGAGCCAGAAATCTGCAGTATTTCTGGAGCAGTCGTTGTCATGCAATTGCCCTGCCTTACTCTTGGAAAGTGCAACTCTCCCATATTGGCCCAGTTTCTTCTATTCTTCTTTGTCCTGCCAATCAGAAAAGATGGAGTAGATTTGCAGTGTCTTCTGTTTAGAAGCACTGGGGATCCTCCATCTGGAAGAACTCATGGGTGAGAATTTTTTAAAAAACGTATTAGACTAGTGTTTGCCCATACCATCCGAAGGGTCACTGTTCTGTTTATTTATACACATTGTTGGCAATTCGGAGGTGCTTGTAAGCTACATCCAGGTAGTTTCTATCAGGAGATGCTCTGCACCAGATGCTCTTTAATTAATTAAAAAGATTTTTACTCCACCCTTCTCCTTAAAAGGACCCAAGGTGGCTTACATCTTTAATAGACAATATTTAAGCTAACAACAGTGAGTATTCCAATACATAAAGGCTTCAAACAAAAAACATAAGCAACACCAAAAACATATTCAAAGCAGTAAGGTACAACAATCTATTAAAAAAACCCACTCGAGCAGCCACTCTCTCAGGGAAAGCTTGCCTGAAGAGAAAGGTATTTGCCTAGCATCTTCTTAACTATTTTCAAAACATTTCTTGGATCATCTTAAGCAATTCTACATATACATTTGGAGATCAAGGACAAGATAATCAATTGTATGGTATTCCCAATTGCTATGTACAGATGAACTTTATGGAACCCATAAACCACTTGAAATACAAACAAGTGGGTCCTAGATAAAATCAAGCCTAGACACTCATTTAAAGCAAAAATGTTTAAACTGAAACTTTGGGCACAGCATGAAACAGAACTCACCAGAAAAGGCAGGAGACTTTCAAAGCAACCCCTCCCAACTTTAAAAAAATTTTTTTTAGAGTTGTGGGCTATGAACGTAGTGCTACTGGGAGCCAAAAATGGCTCTGAGGTCATAGTTGGCCCACAGGTTGTATGCTGCCTACGTTGATGTAAAAGGTGGAGCTTTTTTGGGCCAGTGGTTCTCAAACTTCAGTTGCCAAGATGCTTTGAACTTCAGCTATCACCATCTTAGAACTGCAGAGTTGGAAGGGACCCTATGGATCATCAAGTCCAGCCCCTGTTAAGGAGGCGCAGTGGGGAATCGAACTCCCAACCTCTGGCTCTTCACCCAGATACCTCAACTACTGAGCTATTTGTACAAAATGTCTGGAGGATGAATGGCTGGGAATTTGGGTGAATGCTAGGCTTTATGAAATGAATGGAATTTGCATGTGTGATCATCCACACTCTTGCGCTATACCTGTGCAAGCACAGAGAGACACATAAATGGTGATCAGTATTGCACCTTTCATTTATTTAACAACGAACAATGTCTATAAATTAGTTTCGTATTAGAAGTAAACTAAATTGTAGAAAGGTTGTAGGACAATCAGTGCCATTTCATGGACTTACAAGCAACCACCGTGGCTGGAAAACTTTCTCTTTCTCTCTCTTAAAGGTCTTGCATTAATTTGCTACACAGTGAGGAAAAAACAGATGGGATGCTAATCTTCCTCTGAGGTGTTGGCTGGCTTTGACAAGCACCAGCTGTGTGACATTGTCTAATGCATCCAATTAACTAGTGAAAGGGTTGCCTTCACAGTAGTTATCATGGCAGTACTTTGGGGAGCGTAGAATGTTTTCTGATGATGTCTGTGTTTAGACTCCTTCAGACTAGCCAGAGCTTCTTATGTATGCAGATCTGCAAGCCAATCTAAACAAAACTAATGAGATGTAAAACTGAGACCCATCTAGTGGCAGAGTTAGTTCAAGACATTTGACTAACTGAGGATGAGCAGCCAGTGCTCCTTCTACCCATCCATGTGAAGTGGTGCCTCGACGTAATAGAGTTAGTTCAAGACATTTGACTAACTGATGAGCAGCCAATGCTCCTTCTACCCATTCATGTGAAGTGGTGCCTTGACGTAATGACCATAATCTGTTCCAGAAGATGGACGTAACTCGAAATGGTCATAAATCAAAGCACCATTTCTCATAGGAATGCATGGAATTGCAATTAATCCATTCTGGCTGAAGAAAAAAAATCACACACTCCCCCCAAAATCACTGCAAGACTCAATGGAAACACGATTAATCCCTTCTGACCAACAGTGGGGGAGCAATCAAGCATGCAAGACCCATTGGAATGCACAGAAAACAAATGGAGCAGATTGGAAATACACAGAGAACAAAAGGGGCAGGTCGGAAATGCAAAGAAAACAAAGGGAAAAGCAAGGGAAGCATGCAGGACCCATTGGAAATGGGGAAAAAACCCAAGACCCTTTGGAAATGGGGGGAAAGCCAACAAACAAACCCCCCAAGACCCCTTGGAAATTAGGAAGCCCCCAAAAGCAACCAAAACCCCCAAGACCCATCAGAAATGGGGGGGGGGAGCCAAAAAACAAACAAACCCACAAGACCCATTGGAAATGGGAAAAAACACTCCAAAAAGCAACAAAAAACCCCCCAAGACCAATTGGAAATAGGGGGGAAACCCCCAAAACAAACAACTCCCCAAGACCCACCACAGCACAGAAACATAACCCCCCCAGCTCAAAACCATGCTGCAAAAACACCCAGAACAGTTTTTAAAAAAGCAGAAAACAGCATTTTACTTTACAAGGCAGCCCAAAGCCTTCCTGCAAACACACACACTCTCTCAGAAGCAGAAGGAAGCAGTCCCAAGCCTCCTCCTCCAATGCACGCTCTCTAATTGCTGAGGCGAAAGAGCTACAAAGAAGCAGTCTCGTCGCCACCTCCAGTTAGAAATTTGAATTTCCTGCCTTTTCCCCCCTGCCTTTTTCTGTTCATAAGTGGAAGCTTTGGTCGCAAGTAGAAGCAAAATTTTGCAGCCGGAGCTGGTCGTAACTTGAAATGATCGTAAGTAAGGGCGTTGGTAAGTCGAGGAACCACTGTACTTAAAGCCAACCAGGTTATCGGATCCACTGCTACTGGTCGTAACTTGAAATGGTCATAAGTAGGCGCGTTGGTAAGTCGAGGCACCACTGCACTTAAAGCCACCCAGGTTATCGGATCCACTGCTATGAGACACTCTGTAATAAAGCGTTCAACTATTTAAATAGTTTAATAGTACCATTAATACCAATAGTCAGAGATGTTGTCCACCTCAGTTCAATCATCGATCCAAACAGAGATTGTAACCAACAGATCAGAAGACTGGGACTCAGAAGGGCAGCAATGAAGGAACTAGAAAAGATAATCAAGTGCAAGGATGTGTTGCTGGAGACCCAGTCCAAGATCAGATCATCCACACTATCTCTGAAGGCAAAAATGATGAAACAGAGGTTGTCCTACTTTGGGCACATCATGAGAAGGCAGGATTCTCTGGAAAAAAAGACAATAATGTTGGGAAAGGTGGAAGGCAGCAGGAAAAGAGGAAGACCAAATGCAAGATGGAATGACTTGAGTTTGAAGAGCTGAACAGGGCAGTTTAAGACAGGACCTTTTGTAGATTGCTCACTCATAGAGTCACCGTAAGTCAGAGGTGACTTCATGGCACATAACAAATCGAGGCCCTGAAACCTTCCACACCCTGATTTTTTTGAAAACAACAACAACTTTGTTTTGGCTCAAAATGTCTTCCTGTGACTCCCAGAGGAAATGGGGTGCAATTCTGCCATGTTTTGAAGGACTCCGAGCAACTCTCCTTGTCCCCATTTTTTAAAACAATATTTTGGACGTTAGAGGATGTGGTGGTGGGGGAGCTTCTTGTCAAAAAACATTTTGCTTTTTTTAAAAATTAAGCAGTTGTAGCAAGTTTTACTATACATAATCACAGCATTAAATTTTTTTTAAAAAAATTAAATATGCAAACCAGGCCTTTTAGTTCTACCCGTTGTATTCAGCCCCTCTGAAATCACTCATTCTTGCAATAGGTGCTTATTAATACTCATACAACCATATTGCATATTCAGAATTGCAGCTAAGCATGCCAGGGTCCAGTCTAATTTTTCCAGGAATTTTTATGTTTTCTTGGTCTCCAGGTAGGAAGAAAATCCCAGGACAATCAACACTGGAGGAAGAGAAAAGTTGATTTTATTGTTTGTGGTAGTTTTAATACCTAGGTTTCCATCTCCTCCCTCAGCACCTTAACAGGCTCAGTCTGAAAGTTTCTGCCTGTGTGTTGAGAACATCCACTTTGTCTGTCTCATTCACTCATGCATGTGTGTACATACATTATTTTACACCTGTTACACAAGGGCCCATCCTTGTACCCCTGTCTCAGATTTTGACCTGGAAGCCTCAGGGAAGGCTGGTCCTACATTTGCAACAGATGTGGGTAGAACACTTTTACCTTCCAGAACTGTTGCTGGCCACCCTTCTAGCTGAAGAAACTAGATATTTCTGCAACAGAATTGATAACCTTGTAATAAGATCTCTGCATCACTGCAACCGAGGAGTAGCAACTGCATTTCCATTACAGAGTGGGGCCTAGGGACATACCTTGGGGAGGGGAGGCCAGGTGTGGTTTTGCTTCATTTGAGGTGAATGAGAATTCTTCCATGATATGCCACCATGAAAACCATGTGCCAGCTTTCTGTCCTTTCAATTTAAGTTCTAAAATCCTAATATTTCAATATTTCTTATCCATAGCCCTTTTGAGACTGAGAATGTTGTCATGTCTCCAGGATCTACCACTAAGTTTTCTATGGGGAGCAGAAAGAACTCCATATACAGCTGGACTCCGCCAAACACTCCCAGCTTCCGAGAGAAATATTACCTTGTAAGTGTGACTGGGGTAGAAATAATTTTTTGCCAATGCCCTAGTGTACCATCTGTTGTCACATATCAATGGGATTTTTTGATTTCTTGAATTCTGGGACCTTTACTTGACATACCCACACCTCATAGACAGTGAAATGGGGCTCACCTGGTAGAAAATACCTAAAGTGGAATGCTTTGAGATGTAACTAACTCTGCCCAAGCTTCCTGTTCCTGACCCAGTGCTAGCAGGGAGATTTCTTTCTGAAGGTAGAGCTTGGTCTAATTAAGCCTCAAAACTTCCCAGTTTAGGACCTTTCTCCCAGGTGAGTCCCATTTAGATATCTGTAAGGTATACATTTCCAGTTTATATTATTACAGTAGATATGACTGCTGGATCAGAATTCCAGTTGTGCCTATTATGCATAATACAAAGTTGCTAGACTATCCTCTTAGCAAAGATCAACTCTGATAGGCAAAGGCTCTGTACATTAGAGCAGCCTAGGGTGATAATACTTGTGTGCTTCAGAAGCCCTCTGCAAGTCATTTGTTCACACCTCTACTAAGCAGCTGGATAAGAGGTAGCAGAGAGAAAGACAGAAGGGTTAACAGCCCACTTTGGCATCATGGTATGGTACCTAATAGACTACCCTTTCCTTGGCCATTGGGAACAAAATGATTCCCACTCCTGCCATGCATGGATCATTTTTATAAATTAGCACATTCTAAATTATAGTCTTTCCAGATAATGATTTCCATGGTCCATGTGGTGCTGCATTACAGACCAAGACATTTGGAGGATGCCTAATTGAGGAAGACTGCTCTTGAGAAGTAAAACTTAAACCAAACTAATAACATAATCATGTCCCATCAAGTCAGTTCTGACTTATGGAAACCCCTTTCAGGGTTTTCCAGGTGGAGAATACTCAGAAGTGGTTTGCCATTCCCTTCTTCTAGGGGCAACTTGAGACTGTGCAGCTTGCCCAAGGCCACATAGGTTGGCTCTACTCACAGGAGGCACAGTGAGGAATTGAAAAGCTTTGATTTGGATTCCTGAACTGAGCACGACATTGGCCTTATAGACCCTTTCCCACTCAGTTATTCTATGAACTTCCAACCACTGATCATGCAGCCAGATATCTAAACCACTGAGCTATCCAGCCAGATAAAAAGCCAAAAATCTAAAATTTCCTTGTCAGCTGTATTATGGGGGAAGGAAGAGAAGGGAGTAGTTATGGTTGTGTGAATCTGGTCTGTATAAATGGAAGGGAGTACACAGTAGTTTGGGGTTGAGGTTGGAGAAGGTTATCCCCATGGGAATGCTGTAGTTTCTTTTTGCATAGGAATGTTGCTTTATGGATCGAATCGGATCACTGTGCCAACTGATTGCCAGCAGCTGTCCAGGGTTTCAAGCAGGTTCCCCTCATCCTCCCTGGTATTCCCTTGTGTCTGTCATCTAAATAATAACTAGGCTAGACCCTGCTTATTTTCCCAAATCATAAAAAAGCAGCTGTGTTCAGTGTGGTATGGTAATTGTGGTTCTATGTGGTTTTGCTTCAGTCTGTTTTCAAGCAAGGAGAAAAACATGCAGCTATCAGGGATGAGACCCAGGATTCCTGCATTCTGAGCTATTTGGCGGACTATGATTTTAACATGCGCCTGAGGAGTGCAAGCCACAGTCTCACTGAGACAACTGAAGACAGCTCATTCAGTTCTGAAGACCAGAAAGGGGCAGAGAGCAGAAACGTGACCCCTCCTTCAAATCAGAGGACGCTGCCATTGACCATGCTATTGGATGGCTGTGTGGGAGGAGGACAAAGGGACTTTTTGCTGATCCAGCCTCTAGGTCACAGAACTTTAGATATTCTACAAGAGACTCCACATGCTGACATGGTCCCATCATGTCCATTGGATCAAGGAAAAGAGGAGAGCCAACCCATTACTGGGAATTGGAGTCTGTCTTCAGTGCAACAAAGAAAGATCCTCTCTGCTGAACAGAGAAGCTTGAAAGAGGACGTTGGTGCCAAATCTGGTGGAAATACCAGATCAGTTGAGAAAAACCTGCAAGAAGTGTTACAGTTGTTGAAATTGCAGCATCCACATTCTATCCAAATAGAGCAAATGGAATATCAGGTTTTTCGCATCAGGGACAAATTAAAGGTATAGTTTTGTTGTCACTTTTTGTTGCTAAAACATTTCCCTTCTTATATCCCGAAAGGTCAAAGACTTCAGGAGTATTTTTCTGTTCAGACCTTGGGTTGGAAATATACTTTAAAAACTAAGTTTGTTGTGGTATGGATTTTCATAAGCAAGCACAACCTAAGGCACCACTCTCAAACCATGGTTTAAAGCAATGCAGAACAGTCAAGCCATGATGTCTCTGTAAAGCTGTTTAAGAAGGCTTTGAGACACTGGAAAACACTTCCAAAACCCCTAGGAATACAAATACTTTGGACTTGATAGCACTGTATCAATTAATAGCTCTATATACCTCTATTTATGTGCAAATGCAACTTGCTTTGTGTTACCAACAGCCGAAAAAACACCACCTGAAACATTCCTCCATGGAGAGCTTGATGGTGGAAACAGTGCTGGAGAGCTTTGACTTTCTCAATGCTGATGGCAGCACTGATGAACTTTCATCCTTTGGGAGTATAAGGACCCACAGCGTCAGGTATGTGCTTCCATCTAAGCCTGTGGCATGCCTGGAATCAAATATGATTCCTATTCACTCTCAAAAAATAAATAAATCATAGAATACACACCAATCCCTCATGTGGTTGACAATGAAAAGTGGATGTCAATTAAAAAGACATGTGGTGATTGAACAGGGCAGGATCCGCACTTTGTCTTCCTGGTAGACTGAGAGCTCTATCACTGAGCCCATTATCTAAGAGTGTTGGAGCTAAATGCACTCAAACATTCTTTTGGAATACTGTGATAGCCTCTGACTTCCCAGCCAAACCGCGTGTTATTTTAATATGCACCAGACCATGGTACATATATATTTAATATATATATATTTAATATGTGGTCAGGCAGCTTACATCCATTTGCCTTTTCTCGCTCAAAAATCCCTTCAACCTTCTCTCTGCTTTGCTGATTGACTATGGAGGGACCCAGGATGCTGGACAAAGCTGTTTTGATATTCTGTTTTCACACAAGTTTGCTGGGTTCTTCTATAAGCTCTGATCTCGATCCACTAAATCTGATTCCTCATCACAATGCAAAGGGAGCGGTGGCCATATTCCTCATTGTAAGTGGCAACAGAACATGAGCCTAATTATCTATTCCTTTTTTAACATCCTCGTAATTACTTGTTTTTTCCTCCTGTCATTAGCACCAGCACCTACAATGATACTACGTTTTCGTCTTTTTCCTGTGATGCCAAAACAGAAAAGAAAGAGCTAACCACAGGCAATGATGACCTAGATACACTACTGGGTGTTCACTTGCAGTTTTGCAGAGTTCTTCTACAGGTGAGGAAGTGTCTTTGACTTGGATTGCTAGCAGAGTGAGCAGCGGCAAGGAGCAGCTAAGATAACTGGTGGGTTCAGTCCCACTTTTCATAGGATCAACTGTAAGTGCTCAGAATAAGCAAGCTTTCAACATCCTTGGGATTTTTTCATTAAGCTAGATGGTAAAACATGGACTGGAGGGAGGATGGGTAGAAGGCATAGTGCCCCAAATGCGTGGCCACGTGTTATGAACCATGGTGAATGGCAGTCTAACAAAATCCTAGGTTGGAATCTTAGGTATGGACTTCCATTGCGTCCTCATTCTCCACTAGTTTACAGATTTTCTAGATTTGTTGTTAATCGTAATAAAGGTATTAACCATCTGTGAATTTCTTCAATCTTCAAGTATAAAAGAATGTAGGAAAAGCTGTGATGGATTCGACAAAGATCCTATCTAGTATAATATCCTGTTTCCCACAGTGGTCAACCAGATGGCTGTGCATATCTACATATTAATTCTCCCTTCAAGGACCCAGAGCAGATTTCAACATAAATTGAAAACAGATCCAGCTAAAAACACCATACATTACAGTATTAGAAGAATATTAAATGAATTGTTATATTAAAACAAACATCAGACCAGATGCCTGCAGTAGGACATGTGTGTGTGTGTGGGGGGTCAACCTGACTTCTTTCTATAGGGAGCTCCAGAGCCTGTAGATAGTTGCCTTAGTATACTTCTAAGGTGGCAGAACAAGGGCTGTCCCCCAAGATCTCAAATCTTAGGGAGACTGGTGCGTGCAAAAATAGCTCTTGCATAACACAGATTGAAGCCCGGGCCAAGCTGTGAGTTGGAGTCCAATATGTTTGGATAAGAGTTTGGAAATTTCAAATGTAGCTGTTAAAACTAGTTTTAAAACATAATTTGTTCTCTTATTATAGTGAATTACAACCCATTTTGACTTGTTACAGTGTTCAAAATGCAACTCAGTGGCCAGTATCTCATTTTGCAGTTTCATTGGCAAAATGGGAATGATGTCATTGTTGGGAGGATGCTGTTAAAAAAAGACTCCTTTTTTGATTTCAGGGTGCATTGAAAATTAGAGGGAATATTGATCAGGAAGGGATTTCTGTTTAGGAACGTGTCCTCTGTTGCACTGGCTGCTAGTGCAGAAATGCATTGTACACAATCGACACGGGATATCTGTGGCAGTACTGGCAATCACTCCTCCCATTAGATTGGCATGCCAACGGTTCAATGTATCTTCCCACAGTAATTAAAAAAAAACAACTCACCAGTAATGTGATGGCAGCAGCCCCCTGGCGACATAATTTTACCAATGTATCAATGTATCAAGCATACACACACACACAAAATTAATATGCATGCTGCAGTAATGGCGGGCACCGTTTTGGCATCAGTTCTGAAAAGAAGTGGGTAGGTAGGCAATCCCACTGAGGAATGCACCAGTACAACGAAGGTACAAAAATAACACAACCCTCCTGGCAATGGGGAAATGTTCTGCATTTACACTGCTAGCCGGGAAAATGCCTTGCTCTTGACTGTGCATCGTGTAACCAGGAAAAAAAAGCAACGAACTAACTGGGGGATGACTAGAGAACATTTCCCTCATGTGACCAAGTCCTTAGACTGTTAGTCATGTGTTGTCAAATTGGAACCAATGTATAGTGACTGTAACAGGGCTCCCAAGGTAGGTGAGATATTTAAGGAGTGGTTTTACTACTAGTGAGTTTCTACAACTGAGTGGGGATTACAACTCAGGGCTTCTGAGTCCTGGTCCACCACTCTACACACTACACCATGCTGGGTATGTATCTTAGACCTTACCTCCCAGCAAGTACTCATTCCTGCTCCATTAATTAAGCAGTACTGTAGCTGAGAATGTAGCAGCTTGTTGCTGTTTTTTCCATGAGGCTGCTATTGATGGAGTAGAAGCAATCAGTTACCTCTGCCTAGTAGGTGTTCAGAACATTGAATCAGCAATCTGGTTACCCACAGAACTACCACAGTCCTCCCTAGAGAGAGGCCAGTTCCTGGAAGAATGATGATGCTTAGACTTCCAAGCACTCTGTTTACGCTTGTTCCTAAACAGATCTTCTGGCTGAAAGCCCAACTCAGTCAGCAAACTTACAGCATTTTTAGCCAAAGACTTTTGAATAAACTTGGCACTCATAGAATCAAAGAAAAGATTTTTTTTTTCACAGATCAGCACCTGGTTAACGAACAGAAAGCAGACAGCATGAATTAAGTGGAAGTTCTTACCATGGCAGGAGGCAAATGGTGGTGTCCCTCTAGGACCTGTATTGGGACTGGTGTTTTTTTAACTTGTTCATGGAAGTGACCAGGTTTGCTGACAACACCAAATTATTTCAGGTGACCAAGGCAAAAAGAGATACAACTGAAGGGTCCCAAAAGAATCTCCCCTAATGGATACTATTAAAATGGCAAATGTATATGTGGTGCATAATACACTCAAAAGCAATGTGTATGTATTGTCTTTATTACAGTCATTGACCAGCATAAGGAACATGGGGTACAGTCAGTTAATATGCCCATTATAAACTCAAATTAAACCATAATCCAAAATTTATTTTGGGTTATGGTTTACTCTAAAATTTTTAAAATGTCAATCTAAAATTTAAAAAGTAACCTACATTCATTTTAATATAACCAGAATATAGGAATCCAGGGGGCAGATACATACCTCAGTGAAACATGCCACTACTGTATATGTGTCAAAGGACTCTGAATTGGGTGAGAGTGACCAAAACAGTATCCTGGAGTTCGGGTGAGGATGCAAAGGTCAACCCAGTACGCAGTAGCTATGAAAAAAGACCAATTTCCTGTAGGACCATAAAATAAGTTAAATTTAATTCTGCCCATATTGTAATGCCTCTATGCAGATCTATGATATGAATGTGCTTGGAAAATACTGTGTAGAGCTCTGATCCGTCACATCTGAAAAATTATTGTAGGGTTGGGAAAGATGCAGAAGAGAATCACTGGAATGATCACGTTGTAGAGAATAGTACAGATAAAAGTGGCAGAATAAAAGAAGTCTATACCATAGGGAATTGCAATCCTCTTCAAAGGAGATCTTGTTGCTTGGGGTGTAACCAAGTATGAAGGCAGAGCACTCATCAAATGCTCTGGTGTGTACAATACTAGCTTTTCCAGGGTGTGGAGATGGTTGAATGTAACTGTAGACCTTTTTGTGGAAGGATTGTTCAAAAAGATTGCAATGAGATCAGCTTGACTGTCATCAGAATAAGATTTGCACCCATCAGTGAGGTATGCCACCCAAATAACTTTGTGCATTCAGTGGCATTCAGAAGTTGTAAATAAATAGATTCACATGTTGTAAATAGTCAACTAAATGTGGAATAGCAGTACAAAACTGCTTGGAATACCAGCATTTGAACGTTTGACATCCACAGAGCCCTCTTTTCACTTGGACTGAACAGTCCCAAAGACTGTACATTTCACATGTTATTGAATTGCTTTGCCTATAGTAATATTTTATAAAGTGCCTTCCATATGAGAGTATGATCACTGGAAACAGTATTTTATTCTGCTTGGCCTGTTCCACTGCTCACTCATGGCCACAACCTTAGTCAAAACTTTCACAGGCTTGCTTTGTTTTTACTGATGATAAAGTTGTGCAAGTACGTATATTAAGAAACCTGGGTATAAATGTAAATGCATGAAGTAAGTGTTAAATGCCAATAAATGAGCAAATAAATAAATGAGTAGGAAAAATGTGATGAACAGTCCCATCAGAGGAGAGATAAGTCAGTCCCATCCTTGACATCAAGGCCCACAACATATTTATTGGGAGCTGCATCTGGAAGTGGGAGTCTGGTGGGCAAAAGCTCTCCCCCAATGCCATATTTTAAGCATGTATGTTCCCACATCATACAGGGAGCCTAGCATAGAGAGTGAGGTTGGTTTAACAAATGTTGATCTCATTTGTGCATGGTTGGAGTGGGAGCAAGGAGCAGGACTAATTTCTTTAAAAAAATGTACCTCAGGGAAATGCCTGAACCGGGTTTAAATCCATTTTTCCAGTAATGTAGATCTGCTCATATCTGGGTCTGCTTGGGAGCTGCAGTCAATCTCTGATGAGCATGCTAGTCTAGTTTGTGAACTAGAAAATGAACTCATTGGAGGTCTACAGATTACATGTGGGTGGCTGGGCTGCATAAACCGCTTTCAGTAGTTTTTGCCCAGGACCTACAGCATTAGCCTTGAAGTGCAGCCATAGGGAAACAGCCATCTTTGTGCATTTCTTTGTGGTTCATAATGTTGGCAGCTGCTTCTCAGCATGCAACACATAGCAATTTGAGTAGGAAGGAAGTGGTTTCATTCAAATCCCAGGTCACCACAGTGAAATTAACCCGCAGCTGTTGGGCTGCATTGATAATGTGCATCCCACCAGAAGGATGCAAGGCAGGTGTTCTCCCTGATGGTCTTGGAGAACATCTGGGTCACAGCCAGCTGAATCCAGCTGTTTCACTTAATCTAACATACTGAACAGAAGTGTCTTTCCTCCTCTCTTTGTGTCCAGAAACTTGTCACACCAAACTTAGCTCCAATTGTCCAGGAGAGCCTTCTGGAGGAGGTGTCACAACAGAAACACATCCTGGAAATAATCTCTGCTCTGGCTGCTCCTGCACCACGGAACTTAACTTCTGTTGAAGACAGTAAGTTTTGTGATATAATCAGTGATGTGGAACGCAACCTAAAGGCCACCTGGCCTGTCCCTTGGAGATGTCTGCTTTTCAGATCCTGTACAGACTCCTCCAGTAATGCAAGCTGCAGAATACAAAAAACATATCAGGCTCCTGGATCAATCTCCGCTTTCCTGTGGGCCACTCACACACAAAATCATTCCTCCAATGGTTTTGTGTGTGAGTGTGGCAAGCAGATGTGTTGATGTGAAATCAGTATGTCTGATGCTGGCTGTCCTATGACTTTCTGTGTTTCCATACGTAGAAAAAGTATCTGAGTTCTACAGTGGCTGAAGAGAGGTACATTCAAGGATCACATGGCTTCTGCAATTGTGGACATTATAACAGTGAAAATGTGAATGTGCATATGTGTGTATTTGAATGATTGGTTTCCTGTTGTTTGGCAAACTTCCTGAAGAATGTCTCCTCACTTCCCTTGTCATTCCTCCCTTGACTATTCAACACATAATGCCTATGGAGGAATTACTTGATTCCATTTGCCACTAAATGTTATACAACAGGATTTGCTGAGTTTCTGACACAAAAGAAGGCAAGGAGTGAGTCCTGAACTTTTAGATCAGGCTTGTATTGAGATCATTAAAATGCTGGTGGCATAATCTGCTGATGTCCTGGAACATCTATACATTTTTGTCCATCTGTGTGCCTAGTTGCAAGTCTACAGAATCAGATTGGCTATCTCAAGCAAACCATGTGATACTTCACTAATTGAAAATGGGTTCTGGCTTCTTTGCTGACACTGAAACTCTATCTTTCACAGTTATCCAGAAAGCTAAAAAGCAGAAGCACTGCCTGAAAATCTGGAGTGGGTGCACTGAAGGGGGCAGCATTTTGTTATGTCCAGTAGAGAGATTTCGGAATGCTTTGAAGTACATTCTGATGTTTAAAATAAAAGAAAAACATCAAAAACATCTAGAAAAAGGTACTTATCTATACCTGGCCGGTAAGGTACATAATCATCTGATTCCATTGGATTGAAATTGTCCCCTGTTTACAGCTGGCAAACAGCTTGATTCATATCCGTGGCTTAGTGACATGGTGACTGGTGATGAATTCCTTTTTCCAATATTGAATGTATTAGTACCTTAGATTATAACTGTGAGTTGATGACAGATAATGTCTCCTGTGGCATAACTTTAACTGTTTCCTTTTTACATTTATGAGGTTATGATAAAAACAAGGGTAGGCAGAATATGATCCAGGAGGTGCATGTGGCCCCCATGCTTTTTATTGTGCCTCCCCCCAATTCCTGCCAAGAAAAAAAATAATTTTTAAGACACTCCTGCTCAAAATTGTGACTAAATCACAGAGGAAGAATGTCACGTGTTGTTGTTTTTTGCACTCTCTGAGTAGTTTACAACATAAATATGCAAACACGATTTCCCCTAACAGCTGGGAACTCATTTTACTGACCTTGGAAGAATGGAAGACTGAGTCAACTTTGAGCCAGCTACTACCTGAATCTATTAGGATTAAACATGGGTCATGAACAGAGGCTTGACTGCAGTACTGCAGTTTAACCACTGTGCCAGAGGGCACCTTTGCTGGTGTCTATTTGGGGTGTTGAAATGACAACGAAATCAGCAGAAAAAGATGTTCTTTGTTCCACAGGCCAGTGGCTTGCAGCAAGCAGCAAGGTGTTTTTAAAAAGTAGCTAAAACTATTGTAGTTCCTTTTAAAAACATCTGAATGCTCCCTGCAAAATAAATGAAAGAGGTACAGTAATTTAAAATGGCAACTATAACAGTAAATAACAGCTGGCCCCCCCTTTTTATTATAACTGCAGCTAATTACTTTTAAAATTAACTTTCCAAACTCTAACGTTAACAAACAAGAGTTTAGAAAAGTTATATTTTGGGATGACTGTCTCAGAATGCTGTGCTCCGGCTGGCTGTTTGGATTCTGGGAGTTGTAATGCACAAAGTCAACTTTTCTCAGCTCTGTAACAGATATAGAAAAATGTTTCTGCTTTTGAAGGGCACCAACTGTAAAAAGAAAGGCTTTTTCTACCTATGAGAAACATCCCACTCCTCATTTCTTCTCATTCTCCTTCAGTTTTGCAGGTGTTTGTGGAGCAGGTAGCTGGAGGAAGCCTCTCCTTTCTCTTGCCAGATCTCCCCACTGAATTAGTGACACTGTTCCAGTTTTACAGCTACCTGGAGAAGCACCGTGTAAACAACTTGGAAAAACATTTGGCCAGATTTGCTAAAGAAGGTAGGTAGGAATCTGAAGAAGGGCAGCTCAGTCAAGATTTGGCTGGAGTCCACTTCCTCGTACAAGTTACTGCAAACCAATGAATCAGAACTGTCCCAAATGCCCTGTCATTAACAGCCCTGGTCAGGTCTTGCACATTAAAGGCTGTGACTTCCTTTGCTGATTCAACCAATCTCATTTTTGGTCTTCCATTTTTCCTGCTGCCTTCAACTTCTCTAGAATGCATTTTAAGCACATTATTGGCCCTTTAACTGTTTGCATGAGCCAGAGAGAGAGAGAGGGAGCAAGATTCCATGGCTCATCAAGAACATTTCAGTGCTTGAAGTTAAGAGTAAGGGCGATTAGATGGTTCCCTCTACCACTGCATGCACAGAAGCTGACCATGCACAGAAGCTCTTCATCTCAATTTTTCTGAATTTCTCTGGTGAACCACCTGCATTTTCTGTTTGTGGTGGTTGGCTAAACTTTATAGGTTTCTCTTTGCATTGAAATTTCAAACATGGACGGACTTGCAGTTTTTAAAACTAATCTTTTCCTTTATTTGCATTTTTAAAATCTTACTTGCATACATTTGACTAAAGTGTATTTTTGGGCATCGTTTCAATTAGATTCCCATCAGATAATTCCTGACACCCCTCTTTTCCCTCTCCTTCAGTTTTCCTATCCTGTTTAATATCTCTGTCATGAAAAATTGTTTTTATTTCTATATCTATTGTATGATTTTTAATGTTGTTAGCCGCCTAGAGTGGTCCTGACACGACCAGATAGGCGGGATATAAAATAAATAAATAAATAAATAATGCACTTTTTTCTGAAACATTTCATAAACATCACCAAGTGTGCAAATCCTTGCAGTGCAGCACACTACAAGTACCCAGAAGAGCAAGAAGGTTCCTCTTGTTGAGACTGTCTAGTCCATCCCTACTCAGGGCACCTGAGGACAGAAGGCTAGCTTGAGGTCACAGGCCAGTTTACCCAGCATGGACAGAGTTACTGTCCTCCAGTGCTTTGCTCCTGTTCCCCATCAGAGTCATGGGTCTGACAGCACAACAGCCACATTGGTTAGTCATGTATATTGTGTTTTTGTCTTGCCAGCAAGAAGCAGCTGGAAGCAGTTTCTACACTTAGAGTGTGTAGGTTCATTCCCTTCCAGACGTAAATACTAATAAGCAGGTTTATGACCTTCCAACAGCAAATTTCTGCATCCTTTAAATTTTGGTGCCCTGGATCAAAACCCCAGTTAGCACTGCTCTGGTTACTACTGTTTCCTGCCTCTTAGCATCTGTAAAATGCTGTGTGATGGTGGACCATTGACCTGGCCAAGCATGACGGTAGATAATTGGTCTATGCTTTTCAACACATTCATTCAGTTCCCATTATTTCTGTTTAAATAATTTTGGCTGGTTTTAATCATAGTTGGAAGAACTTTTCTATGGCTACAACTGTGGAGAGATGCTCCAGTCACAAGGCAAGACGATCTAGTATCCTGATTCAATATACAACAACTTCAAAGGGTAGTATGAACCTATAGTTGTTGTCATTAAGGAAATAAACGCTTTTCTTTCATAGGCAGGTAGTTGTGGGGAGAGAAGACAAGGAACAGGGACATTACCATTGATGGGATGGAATTGCTCTCTTTTTAGTAATGTTAACCGAGGACCTGCAACGTCCTGGGAGAATGAAGAAAATAAAGAAACTGAAAGGGAAGCGACTGAACCAGCTGCGGCCCCTTCCCCAGACCCTGCAGCTCCTGGCAGTCCTCCAGCTTGATGAAAACCATCGTGTGGCCAAAGCAGCCACATCATGTCTCTCTTGTGCAGCAGGCAACAGGAAGTTCCGAAAAATGGTATTTGTTTCCCCTTTTCCTCAGAATGTTTTATTTACTAACTTTAGAGAATATGTGTGCATCCATCCATCTGTGGGAAGACACCTCAGTACAGCAATAGCATTTGTAGTTCGCATGCAGAAGGTCCTAGATTCCAATGTCAAACTAAGCACTGAATGTTATGGATAGTCTGTAAGATCAGTCTTCCCTCCTCCAGCAGCATTCCTTCAGAAATGCTTCCCTCAGCAATCAGGCTGGTAAATCAAACCCCTGTTTACCTTCCAATGACCAATCAAAAGAGTGAGAGGCAGTAAGATTCAAATTTGTACTGTTAATGGTTTTTTTTTGTTGTTCTTTAGGGGGAGGTAGCTAAGTTAGTCTATTTTAGCAGCAACAACAAAACAAAAACAAAAGTATTGTCCCACCTTTAAGGCTCAGTGGGAGCATTCATGGATTAGAATGCAGTGCTTAAGGAATAACCAGTTACTGTGAGCATTCAGTGCAGGCTGGGGAGAACTATCTATGTGGGCTGAAGGTGCTTAAAGGACTAGTAGTCTAAAGTTCAGCACTCTAACCTTCCTTTCCAGGTTAAGGATAGAACACTAACCTGTATTTAACCTGTAATCAGTATTTCCTTTGCTTTTCAAAGAACACCAGCAAATTAGCTGTAAAATAGCTTCGGGTTGGCAATGCTACTTCAGACCAATGGTAGAAGACAATGGTGAATGATTGAATACTACTATAATTGATATATCAGCACCTTCGGAGATATCTCATCCATTAGAAGGGAAAGTAGAAGGGTAGCAAGTAGGTTGAAAAGGCCCCTGAGGGCTGAATTTAGATTCTGACATCAATGTGAAAGAATTTATGGAGGAAAAAAATTTCTATTGTATTTTCCAGGCTCTTCTTTTTTATACAGATGTCTTAAGCCACGAAGATTCAAAATTACAGCAAGCTGCATGTCTGGCCCTCAAAAATCTCAGAGTGAGTGCGGAGCAACTAAGTACAGTACTACAGTAGTGGTCCTATTTGTTTCACAGGGCAGCCAGCAGAGGGAGCAAAAGTCATGTTAGCCAAAATGCAGGAAGTCATACCCTCCTGAAAGACAAAGTAGAGTTTCAGCACCAAATTAGATAATGCATAAAAATAATATGTAGTGTGCCCTGTTGCTTTTCACAGCAAATACAAGGCTGGGAAATCACAGTCAGGGCTGTACCATAGAGTGGGAGATGAGACCTTATCACGGTTCTGATTAACTTCCCAGCACAAGTTATTAGCCCTGGATGTTGTCTCATGGGATTAATAGCCGCGGGTGGAGTAGGATTGCTAAAATATAAGTTGTGCATTGCAATACATCCAATTTATTAATCTTTTGCCACCAGTATATATTGCATTTTTATTTGCTTGGAATCTTTAACGCTTAAGCAGAAATTTCACTGGATCAGGGAGAAAAAGCAGAGATGTACTGTAAACTGCTGGGCCAAAAAGAATACGAGTAATTTCCTTTGCACTTTTAAGACTGTATTCTAAATTCAGTTGGGAATTAATATTTTGTAACAGCAGAATGATAATCCATGCCTCCTGTTGACACTGAGTAAACTGTGATTATTCTGCGGGGGTGATATTTTATTCGAATTTTGCAATGTTACAGTTGTGTCCATTGAGCTTACTCTGGGTGTGTTTAAGGACAATGAGAGAGGAGTGGAAAACATGATGGGGCTAGATTTTTGGCTAGTGTTTCTTTGCAGTAATATTATAGTGTTAGTTTAATATGTATTGTTGTTACATGTATGGCTTTCTGTAGCTTGATCTCATATTACTTTTGCATAGCACAAGAACAAACAGAAGCATGGCCATGCAGAAACGGAGAATGGCACAGGCAAATTCTGCGCTCTCATATTTTCTAATCTGTTCTCCAGCACTATTCCAGACTTCTGTTAAGCGTACTGCATGCTGGCTACCCCTGAGTTAATGTATTGCTCTGAAGGGCAATGAAACAGTTCTCAATGCTTAAAACAGCTGTCGGTGTTGTGCTTCTTTTATGAAACAGGGAATTGAAAGTATAGAGGAAGTTGCCAGGCTGTATCTGTCAGAAATGGAGGATGTGCGGAATGCGGCCAGAGAAGCCACTCTTTCATTTGGTAAACACTTTAGTGATTTTCCTCTCTGTCTGAGTTAACAAGTTAAAAAGTAGATACCTCAACTGCCATTGTTATTCCATGTTGGGGATTCTTACATCCTTTTATGGATGGAATGGAGCTTTGATGGAATGCAGTATCAACAACACATTTTGCACGTTTCTAATCATTTGCAGTTTCTAACCAATCACCTGTATATAGATATAAAAACCTGCCATGTTATCTATCTAATTTGTGGGTGGATTCCAAATGTGATCTGTCTTACCAGCATTCTAGTACAATGTAGCTGAGTATTCTGGCACTTTCTCTTGCTTAATTTAAAAGGAGTGGGGCCCCGCTTGTGCGGGCACAGTTGTGCACATGCGTGAAGGAGCGGGGGGCTGCTCGTGTGGATGTGTGCACACTCGCACTCATGAGCCAAGAGTGGGGGGCATTTGGGGGGCACACGCGCACATGAGCAAAGGGACTGTGTGTGGGGGGGAGTGCGTGCAGATGCAGTTTCTAACCAATCACCTGTATATAGGTATAAAAACCTGCCATTTTATCTATCTAATTTATGGGTGGATTTAAAATGTGATCTGTCTTACCAGCATTCTAGCACAATGTAGCTGAGTATTCTGGCACGTTTTCTTGCTTAATTTAAAAGGAGCGGGGGCATGCGTGAAGGAGCGGGGGCTGCTTGTGTGGATGTGCGCACACTCACACTCATGAGCCAAGAGTGGGGGCCATTTGGGGGGCACATGAGCAAAGGGGCTGTGTGTGTGGGGGGGGGTGTGTGC